ATACACATACACATACACACACACACACACTAATTTCTAAATACTGTATAGGGCAGTTCAGGCAGTCTCCAGGTTGTCTTTTAATCAAATTTGTTGATAAGTTGGAAACATACTGTACATACTTTTATTACTGTATAACAATTAACTACATACTGTACTGTACCTCAAGCCAACAAACTGCTGAAGCCGCCCAGTGTTTTCCTGAGCGTCACAAAGTAGTGTGTGTGTGCTTATTATGATTCATTGTATTTAACTCAAATTTTGTAGTTTGCTTTTTCTTTTCATTGTTTTATAATCATTTCATTTGTGAAATCGGTCGATGAAACGTAGTATGCTTTGCTTCTGTCTACTCAGCAATACTTCCAGAGGAAATTGGGAAGCTAAGGAAGCTGGAGACGCTGAACCTGAATGGGAACCAGCTGCATAGACTGCCAGCATCCATCGGACAGCTCAACTCACTGCGCACGTTCGGCCTCTCTGGAAACTGCTTCCGGGAGTTCCCTAGCAGCCTAGGTGCCCTGCGGCATCTGGACCTCCTGGATTTATCCAAGAACCAGATTAGCACAGTCCCTGCAGAGGTGGCTGCTCTGCAGGTCATAGAGATCAACCTGAACCAAAATCAGGTTGGCGATTTTTTTCTTGGAGGGAAGAACAGAACGCATGCAATGTGTGGAGATTGGAGCTGGTGAATAAAATTCTAGGACTGTCAAATGGAAAGTAACAGGGATCGCCTTACCTCATCTTTGATGATTTAGTCTGGTGCTTTGTGGCTAGAAGTGAAGTCCTCTATTGTCTAATATCATCTTGTTTTGCTGTCAAGTTCTGTGACTGCCCACCATTCTAATGGGTAGATTCAAAGCACGTGACTGTGAGGGATGTTAAAGTTTTTTTGTTTTTTTTTTTAATTGTGAAGTATCTTCTTTAGCTTACCAGAGTAAATTGAAAATGCATTTAGTGTTCTGCCTGTTTCCCCCCCCCCCCTCCTCCTCTGTGGGCTAGATCTCCATGGTATCCTCAGAGCTCTGTGGCTGCCCCCGGCTGAAAGTGCTCAGGCTGGAGGAGAACTGCCTGGAGCTTTCCTCCATCCCCACGTCCATCCTCAGAGACTCCCAGGTGTCACTCCTGTCACTGGAGGGCAACCTATTTGAGATGAAGAAGTTACGAGACCTGGAGGGATACGACAAGGTGAGCCGCTTGGACCGACGACTTCACAGCTCAGTGATGCCAGACAAGATGCAAGAGGTTTATTCGTCATGTACACATACATCATGTAGTGGAATGTGACCCTGGCCACTCCGAGCAGCTGTGCATGATAACAAATATAGAGAGAAAAAATAAGGAAAGATAATATAAGATATAAAAATATATGAAATGTTCAGCTGTACATAAGTTATAGGTAAGATGTATTTTGCTGTGCAATATATGATGGTAGTTTGTTTTTGATGACTCTGCAATTTTCGGGTTCAACAAAAGGACAGCTACACGTACTAAAAATAGATTAAGATGTTATTTTGGGACCGTTAAACAAGATTTTAATTAAATGTCACAACTACTACAGCAGAAAGGAGATGGTATTAGAAAACAGAATATGTACATAAACTAGAAGTGATGAGTTCCTGTTTTGTAAAATTAAAAGCATTTAATCAACGCAAAAGTATTGTTTCCGTGATTAAATAGTTTATCCACCTGTCTCTTCTTCTTTACCTTAAATTTAGTTAATAAATGCAGTTTACATTCAAACACATTACACATCATTCTGAGTAAACACACCAAAGGGAAATCAGAGAATCCCAATTTGCTCCTTCTGGTTAAATGTTTACGAAGGTAGTAGCAGTCCCTGGGGTTGGTAGAGTGAGAGCTTTAACTGGAGTAGAACTACAGTCAGGCGTAGAACACTGAGAGGAATGAACGTCAATCCCAGTTCAGGGTTCATAGTCGGATAGGCTCTGGATCCCCCGCAACCCTTAATAAGGCGAGCGGTTAGAGAAAATGGATGGATGGCATGTTTTTGATGTCAGACTGGTGGGGTAGGTGACGATACCTGAAATACTTAAATTTGTGGTTTTAAACAACTGCCAAAAATCCATCCTGACTTAACTTCCTGTTGACAGTGTATAGTGTCTTTTTAAAGTATAATGTTAATACTGTTTACGGTGATGTTAATACTGTTTCTTTTTTGCTGCCTTGTTGCTTTCTCCACTAAGACTCTATCTCTGTCCCACAGTACATGGAGCGTTTCACTGCTACCAAGAAGAAGTTTACCTGAAGCGGCCAGGGCTCCCTGTGTGTCTGGTGGCTGATCGTTCCCACTGCACAAAGACGGGGCTCTTTGCCGTGATTTCCGCAGCCCCGCCTGGTGCCCAACAGCTAGATCTGAGAGGAGGACTGCTTTTACACTCCTAGTGGCTCTTTGCAGCTCCCCAGCCCCCTCTTGTGGCCCCGGATTTCACTACAGCATTGTATGCCTCATGAATGGGATGCTTTTTGGATTTTCTTTGCCCCATGCAAGAACTTATTTTGATGATAGGCCTGTGACTGACTAGGGATACTATGGTTCAAGTCATTTAATGAGCACAGATTACTTGCAAGGTGTGCATGTCGAGCCTTTTAAATTACTTTGTAAATACTTTTATCAAGTATTGAAAGATTTATTTCTTTCATTGCGGTTAGCTGGTTCAGCATTACTGCCACCTAAGAATTTATAAATTGCCTTGATTGTATAATTTCTTTTGAGTGGTTTATATAAAAGGGAGTCACAGTACTGTTGTATGATTATAATAACCATAACATGCAGCTTTTACAAGTTTTGTATTTTGTCTTATCACCATAATAACTGACAACATTAAAGCCATGATTTCCCAGGGAAAATGTCATTACAGCAGAAGGCAACAAATAAGTATTGTCAGTGTAATGGAGTGCTCAGTGAAATGTCTATTACATAGCAATATGTGTTCTGCATTCTGTAATCAGGAGGTCTACATTCTAAGGCCTGATTAAAGGCAGAATACATGGAACTTTATTCTGAAGGGGTCTGAAGATCTACTGCTGAAATGATGGTAATTTATATAAATATGTATAAATGAAGGCCCAAAATGAGACTAGGGTTTTATTATGTAAAGCTGGTGGTTTGGTTTTCTTGGAATGACATTTGTGTTGTGCAGACTGAAACAAGCAAAGATGTTCATGTCTAATTCAGTTACCTTCAATTCTAGCAGTACATAGTATGTTTAAATATTTAATAACTATTTATTTTACTGCCATGTTCAAGGACCAGAGTACATCTGAACTGCCTTTATATACTCGTAATGCAAAAGCCACGAGTCCAGAATAGGTTTGGCAACTCTTGGATGAAACTAGGATTTCAGTGAAAGTGAGAGCGGTCCACTGTCCCATTCCTGTAGTTATTCAAAATGACTGCTGTAACTTTGAACTCCTAAATATTGGGTTATTTATTTAGTGGTGTGTATATCTGGGGAAAAATACATTTAATGTTTTTCTGCTTGTTTTATTCTGCTGAAATTGAATCAGTGTAAATTAAAACCAATATCATCCAATGTGTAGTAGGCCTTACTATTTTGTATGCCCTCATAAAAGAGAGCGGCTCTAATATTTAAAGTCACTGATCAAGGATTAAGAAGTGTATCACTGATATTCCAGCTGTTTTTTTGTCTTTTTTTCTCAGAAGTACTGTATGAGGTAACCATGGTTTTAATGGTAGATGTGGGGGGGGGGATGCTTTTGGAATTGCGGAGTAAGACTAACGCTATTGCCCAGGTAAAAATAAACAGGTAAAACATCGCAAGGGCTTGTTTAATGTGTGGTAATCATATATAACCATGACTTGTCATAGCTGCAGGACACCAAGTGGATATTTTCACATGCAGTAGGCTATACATCTACTGATACTGAACATTTTAGCCAATTTCACATCAGTGCATCCATTTGAAGCGCTTATTTCCGGTGTCCTTCGCTATCCATAAATGCAGCTTAAATGTGTTTAAGACTATAAAGCTGTTGAATTGTTTTGTGGATTTTTTTCCTCAGTCTATAATCATTTTTATTTGCCTTCGTTGACTTAAACTAAAACCCTATCTATGTCTGTAGTTATGTGAAATTAAACATACAGAACCAGAGTTTGTAATTTAGCTGGAAATAGTTAATAACTAATTTTGGAGCACAAGTGTGTTTTTTGGTTTAAAAAATAGGTTTCTCGAAGCGGCGCTAGGTGGCGATGTTTGTGCCGCCGCAAACTAAGAAACAACGCTTCGGCCAAAGTTTGGCGGCATACCTAAACCCTTGCGGCGTTTTGGATAGGAACTATTTGGCATTTTACGTTTCTCACAGAAATATTGCGACAGAAGAGGAGTAACGCGCGCGGATGAAATCCCGACTGGATTTTCAGATGCTGCTGATCGCGAAAATAAAGTCTTAGGCGAGAAAGACGCTTGAACCACCGCAGCAATCACTGCCGGTCCCTGCGCTTTGCTATCACTGTGCGCCCAACAGTCCAAAGCTGGATGATGAACAATGAAGTTTCTCTCTTTTTTGATAATATTCCTGGCTCTCAGCTACCGAGAAACTCGCGGTAAGTGGTAATCACCCTCTTAAATGCTTCCGTCTGCTGGATGTCAATTTTTTTTTAACTCGCATTCCATGAGTTAACTCAAAAAAAGCTACCAAGTTTTTAAATATCACAAACTCACAATGGTTTCTTTATTGGTTGTGTTACTTGTATAAATAGGCTTGAAATTTACTATATATGTGTATGTGCTTAGGCAATTAGTTATTGATGTAGGCTAATGTAAAAATAAATAAATACTGAAACCCTTTTCATGGTGAGCAGTGTCAGTGGGGAGTGTTTCTACTGATTTCAACTTATTTCCATTAAGAGCGGTTAGTTTAACCACCGATTGATGAAGTAATCCACGATGTCTTCCTCATGTCCTTTTCGTTGATATTCTCTCAAGTTCCACTTGATCAAATTTAAATGAGAAAAACTTTTTTTTTTGTTTGTTACCTAATCTGGAACTGGATTTGCAGGACTGTTTTTTTCTAAGTAACTGTTGAGCTTTCAATAGGCACCGTAGGCATTTTCTCTGCCTTTGTTTACATCTTTGGTGTAAACACGATCATATGATTTTGTATTAATATTACTGTTGTTTCAGTTAAAGAATGAAAATGCCGTTTAATACATTATTTGTATGGGTTAGAATATTAATAAGTTTCCCAAATAAGAACTTGATGAAAATCAATCCGCCAATCGTTTCCACTGGTTGTTGGCAAACCTAGGGACCTGTCCCTATGAATGCACGCAAAGATAACTAGAAACATTTCTGTAACGTTTCCTGACAAGCATTATCCAAATTTTTTAAACATTCCCGTACCTTTGTTTTTTCCCCCATAATACATAATTCTTTAAACTTCTTTTCATTATTTTCAGATGTGGTGGTCTGAATTATAATGGACATTTACTGGACATTTAAATGTTCAAGTAGCGACTGCTTCAGTCCGTATTACCTGTATACATTCATAAAATGGGCTTGTTGTGCCTTTTATTAGTAGGGACAGGTAAGTAAATTGCTACATTAAAACCAAAGATATACATTGTATAAGCAGCCACCCCACAGATGCCATGTGTTAGATCAGCGTATCCATTGAAAGCTCCCTTTCTGGCGTTTGGTAACAGTACATCCAGGCCCAGCTGTTGATCGCTGCCGCGGCACAGAGCCTTCAGTATTTTCCAGCCTGTGTGACGTCTGCAGGTTCAAGTCTGAATATGCAGATCAGGCGAGTCGTATGCAACTGCCAGAGTACAAAGGAAGCTAAGAGTTCAGTATGAAAGCCCTCTTGCTAAAGATTCAAGCTTTGTGTGTCTGAGAGCTTTTCTAAGCGGCTTATAAAGTGAACGATTCCTGTTATTGCAGTTCTGGCCACGCTGACATGCTCATGCTTTGATTCACCACCTTTCCGCGTCACCCTTGAATCCTATGATAAAACGATGTGACGCAAATCATTGCTGAAACTTAAATAAATGACGGTGTATACCAGTAGCCCGTGCTGTATGTAGGATATTTCATGCAAACGCTGCAATAAATGTTTGTCCCTTTTTCTGTGCCAAGACACCAACTGTGTACCACCAATTCACTTGTCTTGTTGGCATCCCCAGCATTCCGATTCACCAAGAGCCCCACCAACCTGACAGTAACCCAGGGCAACGCGGCTCGTCTCGGCTGTGCTGTCGAGGGCCTTTTTGAGCCGGAAATAGTGTGGATGAAGGATGGTGAGAAGATCTTCAGCTCAGACCAGATGTACATCACAGTGGAACCATATCACTGGGAGACTTTCCACAGGTACCCTCTACGAGTCAGTAATTTCTGTAGTGCTGCCTTTATTGGGAGTTACATACCATCATGTTTAAGAAACTATCTAGAACCAGAAACTCGCTGTTTCCCCCAGAGATCCTACAGTAGAGGCATTGAAAAACATGAGCCTACCAGCTAAATATTACATAAGTAAGCTGGGCTTGATAGCTTATCTCTGAGTTTTCCATAAATCTTACTGCTGGCAACTACTGTTTCAAAACCTTTTTTTTAACCTGTTTGTGCTCAGTTAATGATGCATTTGGATTATTCATCCACCATGTTCTCTGAGACTTAGGTTTTATTAGACAGTGTGGCTTGTCCCTACTTGTACACGTAAAGAGCACTTAGACTTTTTGCCTGTCCTTGTTTTAAAAGACCCTCTGGAGTAATGACAGACGTCAGTGTCTTCTGTGGTGCATTTTTTGTGGAATTCTTTTCTGAGGGAGAGAGATAAAGAGAGGGTTTAAATAAGACCTTCGGGGGGGAAAATTGTTCCAGGTCAACAGTGTTTGTGCAAAATGTCCAATCCTAACTACACAGGTAACAGTTTAGCTGTTGTTCAAGAAAATAGCAGCTTTCAATGATCATTATAGCTTCTAAGTATATCCAGTATTTTACGTGTTGTTGTTTATAGGCACAACACGCAAAATTGGCCATGTGGCCGTCCCTGTGTTTGGGTTTGTGTACCTTGTGTTTTAAGGAGAAACAGTCAGAGCAACATTGCAGGTAGAGCCAAAGGTGATTCCTCAAGTTTCTCCCTTCCATGCATGTGAGTTTGTGGAGGGCAGTTTCCTTTTGTGTTGGATCACCTTTGCAATGCCTGTGTCATGGGTAGCGGCTGTAAATAACTCAGCATGAGGCCAATGGGCAGGTACAGCTGGAGCCTGATAAGGAGACGCTGGAATGTAGTCAGCTTTGGCCGGCAACTTCTGATCATGTGACTCTGTCCTGCCGCCGCCCTGCAGGAAGATTAATTTACAGTCAAAAATCTACTTGCAAATAAAGATAACTTACTAATAAATGCAGCAAAGTGGTTTACAATAAGTATTATTGATAGTTTGTTTTTTTTTTTTTTTTAAACGCTTGTGTTTCTACATTTGTATCTGGGGAAGGTTAAATTAAGCTCTGTTTGTGTATTCAGCTTTGCAAGTAAAGAATTGAGGGGGAAAAAATGAGGGTCAGTATTAAAATCTATTCAAATTCTTTGATCAGAGATCAGTTCAAATTATGATTGGAAATTTAAACTTGTGATCAGAGAGGAATAAAGTGTGGTTGAAATGGTGGTTTTTGGGCTATAGTGCACATCATCCCACATGACAGCAGCATGCGCCGCTGGGTGGATCCTTTCGCTTGCAGCTCTGTAGAGGCACACTCGTGCTTTTCTGTCTGTTTGCAGCATGAAATCAGTGCAGCAGCAGGACGCCGGAAAGTACTGGTGCGAGGCGGAACTTCAGGGGGTCACCATTTCCTCAGAGCCTGCCTGGATTACAGTAGAAGGTAAAGATGAACAACAAACAAAGAGATGAATAAACAAGCAAGCATACACAAACACACACACACACACACCCACACAAAACATGCTTGCATGTTTGTTTGTTTGTATATATATGCGCTTGTGTCCCAATAATGATTTAATGTGATTAGTACTGTTTTAAGGGTACCGAGCTGAATTTAATGTATTCCAACCTCTCTTTCAAGTGCTATTACCAGACGCTACTCTCATCAAATGGACTGGACCACTAAGAATACTGCCAAATGGGTGACTGCTGTTTTGTTGCTTCTCTGTAGGTGTTCCCCACTTCATACTAGAGCCCCAGGATGTGGCCACTTTTCCTGGGGTGCCCTTTAACCTGAGCTGTGCAGCCGTGGGGCCGCCGGAACCGGTGGAAGTGCTCTGGTGGCTCAGGGGGGTGCAGCAGGGGAAACCTACACCCTCCCCCTCTATCCTTTCTGTCCCAGGTAAAGTGGTCTTCACTTCGTTTTAGGAAACCTTTTCCCTACAAACTGCTGTTTTGACAGCACATATGGTCATGGTCAGAAGTAAACATGTGTTTTTTTTTTCTTTAATTACGGGATAAACCAAGAGTCTGGGGGGGTGTTCTCTCGATATGATCCTCTGATAAGGCTGTCTGTTAAGTACCTGCCAGCAGAGACTTGTCACTTATTGGTCCTGCACTACATGCTCCAATAATGAGTAATTTGCTTTTAAGTGTATAATTTACACCCTTACATATATTCACCAAGCACAAATGGTATTGCCCTCTTAGGTTGCAAGTCTACCCAGAATGCTTTGGGGTAGTTTGGTGGCCCACTGGGAGGTGATCAGCTGGTACATTAGCATCTGTTTGTCTACAGTGCATCATGACTCAGGTGTGGAAAAGAGATTAAGGTTTATGGCATTATGGCTGCTCGTTGTGAGTTCCTTGTGAAATTTGACATCGCAGTAAATCAAAGGTTACTCCTTTATGAAAACTCAAATGATGCCTTTCAGTGCAGTCATATGGAATTCTTTGGCAATAACCTTAGTTAATCTCACTGAAATGTATCATGGTGAAAGCATGAATATTTTATTTGCATGGATGATGGTACTGATGGGCAGTGCCTGGGCTTTGTGTGTGGAGCTCTGGGTGTGGTTTTGTGGTTTCAGTGTCTATAAGAGTGTGCTAGCTTCCCATCTTGGCCTGTGCTTCCTGGGACCGACTCCAGCTTAACCGGATGTTATTACTGTATTTTCTCTGAGGGTCGTTTTACTGCTTTACTGGCTGTTACAAAGCATTTAAGGTGTTTCTGTCTATTATTAGAGAATCACATTGAACAAAGCTGGATAGATGGAGCTGTTTCACAGCTCCTTCTGGTCACTGAATAAAAGGAGGTGCTTTTAAGCTCCTCTTGGTCACTGAATAAAAGGAGGTGCCTTGCAGCTCCTGCTCATCACTGAATGAAAGGAGGTGCTTTAAAGCTCCTCTTGGTCATTGGATAAAAAGAGGTGCATTGCAGCTTCTCTTGGTTGCTGGTTTTCTTCAGCGAAAACAGGCATTTACAGACACCCGATGGTTAGAATTAGAGCTGAATTTCTCTTCAGCCAAATGGCACATAAACCGATTGCGTAGAGCTGTCATGATTACTTGATTAAACTCGATTACTCGATTATTTAAAAGCGTTGTTTAAAATTTCCCTTCTGGATTACTGCAATATGGTGGAAGGGAGATGGCGCATAGCAGATGTAGGTGAAAATAAAGAACAAAAACCATCGGTTGTGTGGAAGCACTTCCCTTTAAAAGTGAATGAAAATGCACAAAGCAGAACTTAAGTATCACCACAGCAGGCATGCAATGCAAATGCATCTTAAAAGAACATGGACTCGTTCAGATATGTCTTATTTGACATCTCAGATCATCCTAGCCCGTCTTTGTCATCGCTTTGACTTCTGTCATTCTGCTTAATTCATGATTCCTCTTTGTCAAATTAATTGCTGATAAAACAAAAGTTATCCCTGTTGCTTTCCCACACCATCTTATATTATACGGTATATAATAACCATATAATTTAATAATCACAAAACTTTTATTTTCACCTTGAAACAGAATACACAAATAAAGCAGATTTGTCGTTGTGATGCACTATGCAATTGGCTGCCCTCGGGGGCCCCTCCCTGCTTGGGGCCCCAAGTTGTTGCTTGCCCTGTGAACCGCCCCATAGCACACTGGAGATCCCCAGCAGATGAAGCCAACAGGATGACATCGTTCGCAAAAAGCAGCGAGGCAATCCTGAGGCCACCAAACTGGACACCCTCAACACCCTGGCTGCGCCTAGAAATCCTGTCCATAAATATTATAAACAGGACCGATGACAAAGGGCAGCCCTGGCGGAGCCCAACCCGCACTGGGAACACGTCCGACTTATTACCGGCAATGCAGACCAAGCTTCTGCTCCGTTCATACAGGAACCAAATCGCCCACAACAGTGGACCCCGGACCCCATACTCCCGAAGCACCCCCCACAGAGCACCTTGGGGAACCCGGTCGTAACCCTTTTCCAAATCCACAAAACACATGTAGACTGGATAGGCAAACTCCCAGGCCCCCTCCAGTACCCTTGCAAGGCTATAAAGCTGGTCCAGTGTTCCACGACCAGGACGAAAACTGCATTGTTCCTCCTGAATCCGAGATTCGACTATCGATCTCACCCTCCTCTCCAGTACCCCAGAATAGACTTTCCCAGGGAGGCTGAGAAGTGTGATCCCCCTGTAGTTGGAAAACAACCTCCAGTCCCCTTTCTTAAATAAGGGGACCACCACCCCGGTCTGCCAATCCAGCGGCACTGTCCCTGACCTCCACGCACTGTTGAGAAGGCGTGTCAGCCACGACAGCCCCACAACATCCAGAGCCTTCAGGTACTCCGGGCGGATCTCGTCCCCCCCCGGGGCCCGGCCACCACGTAGCTCTTTAACCACCCTGGCCACCTCAGCCCCAGTGATGGGCAAGTCCCCCCCAGCACCCTTGGGCTCTGTGCCCTCAGATGTCTCAAAGGCAGTGTGCGTAGATGTATCTGAGGCAGGGTTGAGGAGGTCCTCAAAGTATTCCTTCCACCTCTGGGTGATGTCCCCAGGTGAGGTCAACAGCACCCCCCCCACTATAAATAGTAGCAACCAGGAGCTGCTTCCCCCTCCTGATACTCAGGATGGTTTGCCAGATCCTTTTTGAGGCCGACCGAACGTCACTTTCCATGGCCTCACCGAACTCCTCCCACGCCCGGGTTTTTGCTTCTGCGACCCCCCGAGCTGCATTCCGCCTGGCCTGCCAGTACCCGTCAGCTACCTCCGGAGACCCCCAGGCTAATAATTCCCGGTAAGCCTCCTCCTTCAGCTTGACAGCCCCCCTCACCTCTGGTGTCCACCATCGGGTACGGGGGTTACCGCCACAACTGGCACCGACCACCTGCAGCCACAGCTCCGTACGGCCGCTTCCACAATGGAGGTCCGGAACAGTATCCATTCAGACTCAATGTCCCCAACCTCCCCCGGTATGCAGTTGGAATTCTGCCGGAGGTGTGAGTTAAAGCTCCGGCGAACAGGAGCCTCTGCCAGACGTTCCCAGCAGACCCTCACTATGCGCTTGGGCCTACCAGGTCTGACCGGCTTCCTCCCCCGCCACCTGATCCAACTCATCACCAGGTGGTGATCAGTTGACAGCTCTGCCCCTTTCTTTACCCGAGTGTCCAAGATGGAAGGCCGCAGATCAGATGATATGATTATGAAATCGATCATCGACCTGTAGCGCCGGGCATGTTCGTACCACGGTATTTATTTATTTACTTAAAGTATGACTGGCCGTTTACCACATTTTACAGGACACATTTTTGTTTTACGTTTTTGCATTGTTCCCACATTAACTATATTATTTCATTATTAGTCATTGCACCTGTCCGCTACCTTAATGATAACATACGGCTAACGTGTTTGTTGGCTAACAGCTTATAGATAAACGGCTAATGTTAAGGTGTATGCTGGCCAAGTTAACATTTTTGATAAGTGTTTAATAGTTCAGTGTTGCTGGAACGCAAGCTTTACTCAAAATACTGACCTCGCGAAATTTCTCATAAAGACCGGGATGTCGGTCTTTAAGATGGTTCGCCAAGTTTGATGTGCTACTTGACTTTGTCGCCACAACCATGTAACGTAGACGCTTAATGACATCCTTAGCCTTTCCATGCTCGTCTGCAACTTGCGAAATGCCTTCAACTGCGCATATACCATGTTCGGCCAACTCGGTATGTGTGTGTTAACCAGCGCAAATACGTTCAGCGGCTATTGAGAGGAGGGGAGAGGCTGCACGGGCGTGTGCGTGCTTGCGTGCACATGCGCTGTAGTGGTGCTGTGTGTAGTGTGGTGAATGAGACGAAAACCGCACTGTTGGTATCAGTAATGGTGAAAATGAGTATCTAATCAGATACAAATTTTTAATATCGATTAGTATCTGAGAATCGATTTTTTGACAACCCCAGTGTCTCATTTTCAACTCCAGCGTCAGCTATATCTTCCGTTTATGATCTTTCACGGTACATTTTTAGCAGTGCAGCAGTGAAAAAGGTCCCCCCTTAAACAGTTAACAGCTGCGCTACTTTCCAAACGTTGTATAGGCTATTTAAACCGGTATTGCGGTATAAGAAAAATTCATATCATAACAATAATGAAAACCGGTTTTCGGTATGAACCGGTATACTGCCCAGCACTAATGTCACCAGTTCAAATTTGGAGGCTGCTTGGAAGACTCTCACATGGCAGGGCTATTTTTTCCCTGTTTTGATTTATTTATTAATTATCTTTTTACGGTGTGAAACGTGACCAATTCATAATAGGCAAAAATTTTCCTGTGGTTTATATTGGACCTTGCAGAGACATCCGTAAGCTCACTGGCCAATACCTTCCCATCAGTCATTATTGGAGTCATACGGAGTGTAAAACGCTGATTGTCTGAGAAAGAGGAAAATGGATCTCAACGTTCAGCTTGGAGTCTGCTGGCAAGTGAGAACTCAGGATGTTCATTTCAGTTTCGAAGGCCAAAGTTTTTATAAGTTTGTGCGTGAGCCTCTAACAGAAGGCCACCGATAAGATCTCTCAGTGGTGGTGCATTATGGGGTCAGTTTTTTGTTGAATAAGTCTGTGCTAAAGGCCTTTTGTCACCCTGTCCTTGAAATAAATCAGTGAAAGAGCTGACTGGTGTAAAAACGCAGGGGGGAGAATTTATCATGACAGGAAATGAGATGTATTCCATTTAAAATACCATTAACGTTCATCAGCTTCAGAGTGTTCACTAGCCAGCTATCTGACGTTGTGAATGTTCCCAGTACAGGAAGTCTTAGGCTCCCTCCCCCCAGGCCAAACAATGGCCCCTGACACCTAAGAGGCCCCATAACTCTCTTGGGCTCTTGTGTGCCTGCAGGCATCACAGGCAGCATCAAGTTCTACTGCGAGGCGAAGAATGCCAGGGGCGTGTCCGTGTCACGCACCGGCACGGTGCACATCAAAGGTGAGCCACTCACAGCCCCCACGACCAATGAGGGCCTCACGTTTCATAAGGCCGCCCCTCACAGTTACTCTGCACGCTCAGATTCTCTCACTCTCTCTCCCTCTCCCTTCTCACACAGTGTTAGGCTGAACCCTGGCACACAACATGCCCTCTTAAACTGGCAAAGGAGCTTAAACAAACAGGGATCAGTAGGCACTGAGGGGGAGGCTTGCAATGCTGTTTGCATCCAGCTATCAGCCTCCCCTCAAAGACCTTCAGTCTGGCCTTTATGTGGAAGCGAAATGGCTTCCATCACTGTCAGTCTGCTCTGGCAAAGCTTCTGATATCAATCTTATTTAGTTGAATATGGAAAGGCCCTGCAACCATTATTAGTGAATACCAGTGGGTGAATCCTACCTGCTTTTCTGTGTGATGCTGTGTCGTGTCACTGATGTCACTCGCGGTGGTGGCTGTCTCTCTTCATGCAGTGTTACCAGAGGCCCCCCAGGCAGTGCATGTGGTCCAAATGAAGGAGAATAATGTCACCCTTGCCTGGACTCCAGGCTTCACTGGGTATTCAGATCTGCAGGCTTGCACAATCCAGGTACCTCCCGATGCTCGTAAAACGTGCGTAGGCGTGTGAATGCCGTCATCACTTCCTGTCTCATTCTTGGTTTCAGTGTGTCAGTCAAGTATCAACTGTGAAAACTTCCTTTTGCAAAGGTTCAGTCATATATAAATATGTGATAATACTGAGTCGTACCTATTAGAGATCTTATTTCTGTTATTAATACTGACTTATGTGTAAAGAGAACAAAAATGTCATAGACAAGATGTATTGAGGGTAGCTCATTGCACTGATTCCAAATAGCTCATTTGTGGAATTAATTTCATAGATTAAGACAGCAGTTGGCCTTATAGTAAATAACACTTGAATGTCCTAAACGTATATTACACCACAGTGGATTGTTTTCTCCTGCTGTGGATCATGTGCCTTGACATAGGATATACATATGGTATATGAACAAATATGTAAACAAATGTGTTTTGCTTTAGAAATAGATCATGTCCTTGAACGTTTTCTGTCTGTGGCGCAAGCTGTTGGTTTACCATGAGATAGACCTATAAAATATGTGCTGAAATGGCAGAATGCTTTTGTTAGTGATGGGGGACGAGGACCGGCCAGTGGCCGGGGGTTGGGGGGGTGGTGGTGAGCCAGCTCCTGACCATTTGGCATGTGGGCGTTTGGCCTGTGGGTGTTCACACCTAGCCTGCTGGTCTTCCCGGCCGCTGCATGAACATATCTATGCTGCAGTCAGAAAGGTTGCCTGCTGCCTGCCAGCCCGGTCCTCCTTGCTCTATCCGGGCCGGGCCGTCCCTCATGCATGTGTGCTGTCCCACTCCGGTCCAAAGCTGATGGAGCTGGCTGACCTTGGCCTGGGTATTTCGCGGCCTAATTGGTCCGGACTACATTTCGTGTTGTTGCCCATTGGTCACATATGAAGATTGACATATACGGTAGATCAGAGCTAGCCGCTATGCACAGCATCATAATTCTCGTAACAAAAAAATTTGGAATATTCTTCAATGAAAACTGGGATGACTGTGTTTATTTTAGGCTGTGGCATGGGAGGGGGATACATATTTTGGCATTTTATGGATTATGCTCTGGAAGGTTCTGGCATGAAAAGCTGTCATGTGGGGGGGGGGGGTGTTAATATACCCTCATTATTCACACAGGGAAAAAATGTTATTCTCAAACATTGGGCGAGCTCTGCAAATGCTGAGCTGCTATGATAAAATAAAGGTTGAAAATGTCATTCAAGACACTTGGCATGAAAGAAAAGGATTATGGGAAGTTTAAAGTTTGCCAAATAGTTTTTGATAGAAGACTTCTGTTTGAGGAAGCAATTTATGGGTAATTCAGACTCTGATGTGTCTGAGATGAATAACATCCTTTATCTTTGTGTTAGATGTCAAAGAAATCTGGGGAGAGATCGGAGCTTCCAGAGCAGCGCGTGCCAGTTCCGCCCTTCCAGCAAGTCATTGGTGGGCTGAGGTGCTACTCAAACTACAGCGTGCGAATCTGCTGCAGCAATGAAGTAGGATCCTCCCCTTTCTCAGGCTGGGTTGATTTTCAGACGCCAGAAGCAGGTGTGTCTTACTTGGGGGCGGCTGGGTGTATCTCTACATGGGTGAAGAAATTGTAAAGTCATAAACTATAGCTGAGCAGAGAACCTTATTCTGTACTGGAATTAATTGGGATCCAGGTAACGTGTGACATGCTAATATGGTTTTTGAAGTTGTCCATAGTCCTGTTGGCCTGTAACATCCCCCCCTCCAACTTCCAGATGAGCAATAGACAGTACTTTCTGCTGATGTTCACACTTTATTCTTCTACTTGGTGCGAGGAAGATGGAGGCAATGAGGGGATTTGGTATGACAGGTATTTAGAGGAAGTAGGGGGTGGAGTAACAGCTGTTCTATTTTGGAAAGAAGTGTCTCTGCATTTGGTGGAAACAGGGAGCGCAGAGGGAGGTTTGGGGGTTCTGGTGTTGGCCTCGTTAGCATGTTTGTATACTAGCAGGCCTGGCCCAGTGCCAATGGATTCCATCCCCAGTGGCACAATGAGCCATTGTGGGTGCCCTCAATCCATTGCACTGCATTGGCGCTCAGTGCAGTGTCGCCCACTGTTGCTCACAGAAGATACTACAGTTTTGCATGTGGATTTTCTTTCTTTAAACCTTGTTTCTTGCCAAATCTTCATTGGCCCATTCTAAAGTATTGATGTGCTATTTTTCCTTGCAGTCTAGCATCTGTAATGGAATACACTGTATTTGCTTAACTGCAGAAAATATAGGCCTTCACCTTTAAGAATTGCATCACCCCCCCCCCCCACCCCAAAGTCTCCTGTGGTGACTTCATTCCCCATCTTATTTCCCAGTGCCCTCGGCTGCCCCACGCAACTTGACCTTTGACCTGTCAGAGCAGCAGCTTTCGCTGAATTGGGCCCCAGTGGAGGAGGCTGAGCTTCATGGGCGCCTTCAGGCATATAAGGTGCAGTGGATCCAGAGGGGAGAGAGCCAGGTACAGTGGCTGCGACTGCGCCTCAGATGACCCCTAAATCAAGCCTGTAGTCTTGTGTAATCTTTATCAAGGTATAATTATGAGCACTGCTATAAATACTCGGTAAATACAGGAAATGACACCACATATCACCTCACTGAGAGGGGTTCTACTTTAACAGGAAGCATATAGATTTGAGTTTACTGTTAACCTGACTGGTAGAAAAAAAGTATGTTAGGTGAAAAGAGAGAGTGATTTGAATACAGTATACCACTGCTGACCAGCTAGAAGACTGTGAAGTGAAGTTTCCTTAAACTGTGAAAAATCTCACAACAAAAGAGAAGTTTAAGTTATTGACAGGTTAGGCTTGGGCGCTATCTGTTTTTCATACGGTCATATTGTCCAGATATTATATGTGTTATACGATACTTTGATGGTATTTTTCAAAGCAACTCTGTTCCGGTATTTTGAAATCTTGAGGATACAGTTTGCTGATCTCAAAATACCATAGTATGCCCAAAATACGGTGACAAATCACATTGTCATAATTCTGCCCAACCCTAGGATAGTCAGTCAACTAATTGCTTATCTGGCACAGAAACCTCTAGATGATAAATCTGAACTAGACGCACTTGCCGTGGATGAGCCGTGCTGGATGTCAGATTTGACTCTGCAGTTGCTCTTGCCATCCTGCAGGAGGCGCTGCTGTTTAGGGAGAACCGGGCCCACTTGTCAGGCCCGGGACGTTTCTTCAACTCCACGTTCCAAGTGTCCGCCTGCACGATGGTTGGCTGCGGCCCGTGGAGTCAGCCGGTGCTGGTGATGCCCCATACCGGTTCGTATTTCTGCACACCCACCATCGACACGTTCCATCAAAAGACCTCTTTGCTAGTGTGTTATAAATACATAACACCTCAGACCCACGGAGGCGGGTAGATACCCTCAAATGTGCTTTTCATTCATCTTAAGTTTAAAGAAGGCAGTTTAACCTGGTTCTTATTTCAAACGTCCTTAAGAGTCTTGAATAACTGGCTGTGCAAAATGCCGGAACTGGTTTGTTATGTATATATGTAACTTAATCCCCAGCACTGCCCCTCCCGACCCAACGGAGCCACATGTGGGTGGGGTTGCTCCTGGGTGCCCTGGTGGCCATCATGATTGGCTTACTTCTGACTGTCCTGGTGCACCAGAGGGGGAAGGAGACACACTATGGGTAGGAACATCCCTCCAGCCTTCACAGACTGTACCACTGAGCCTTTAATTAAACTGCATGACCCTCCAGGCAACTGCTGTTCACTGCAGTGTTGCAGCCAGGGCCAGCTACTGCACTCTTTGCCATCTGTACATGAGTTTTGTTTTTATTGAACATAACTGCCTGTAGTCAATTTTATGTTTTATGTGTTGGAATGCATAAACATGTAGAACTTGAATCATGTAAGACTATTACAATGTATAGATTTAAAGTAAATTGGGAAAAAAAACTGACAAACATTTTTAAATTTTCTGGAATTTGTTTCCCCCCCTGCAAGTATTATTTTTTAGAATTACTGTGATTTGATGTAGTGGATAGTTCATAATCTGGCCTTCTAGTTGTTAACTCAGACTTCTTTTTCAGGTCTGCGTTTCAGCCTTCAGGGGGTGAAGCCATTGTTTCTTTCACAGCAGCCAGATCTTTCAACAGACATGGCCCTCAGCTCCCAGAATCCACCTGTGAGCATTACATTTCAGTCACCCGAATGACCGCCACTGACACAGCAGCTTTAACGTAGCATTATTTAAATTTGCCTCTATCGCCATCTAGTGGACACCATTGGTCTGAGCGACGATCTGAGGAACAAACTGCAGGATGTTTTGATCTCAGAGAAGATGCTGACTCTGGGACACATGTTAGGGAAAGGTGGGATCCAAGAGTCTTCTGCTGACTCCCTATTTTAAAAGTTGATAGCAAACTTTTTCTCTGGTGTTGTCTGCATGGCACTATTTTACTCTTGAAGACCAAAGGTAACATTTTTCTAGTAGATGTTCTTTGACTTCTTATGTGCCAGCAGTATGTCAGCTGTACTTTAATCTGCATAGTGAAAAATTCAGCAAAAGTGTACAGACGCAGAGACGTTGTGTCTTTGTTTTTTGCACTTAGGAGAGTTTGGCTCGGTGCGTGAGGCATATCTGAAGATGGAGGACAACTCTGTACAGAAGGTGGCGGTGAAGGTTCTCAAAAGTGAGTCCCAATTCAGAGGGTTGTCTTATCTACCTTCATGTCTTCTTGCATTCGTTTGTTCAAGTAGATTCTTGTAAAGTAGGGCTGTCTCTAGTACCGACGACATCTGAGGGGGTGGCACCATATTGACCTGCCCCCCCCCCCCCCCCGGCAAGCTTCAAAGCTGACGCCCCCACCTCCCAGCGCCCACCATCCAAGACAAAATCACATTCGCCGCTGAAGTTTGTCTGGGGGCTCCTTATGTTTCGACCGGCATTGGTTGTCTCTCATGAGTATTGAGCGTGAATCATTGTATTAGTTTTTCCCCTTTAAGGTGCAGTGTTTTGATATAATTGAAAGTTGGTTTTACTTTACTTACCTGTGTTTTCCAGCTGACATCACCAGTTCCAGTGACATTGAGCAGTGTTTGAAAGAGGCTGCATACATGAAGGACTTCAATCACCCCAATGTTATCCAGCTCATCGGTAGGCTAATCAAAACCAACAATGAAAAGCATGATTATGTATTGTGCCTTGGCTAATCTATTAGAAATAATTGTGAGTGTAGATGTGCTTGCACATTTTTTTTTCTTTAATTTACCAACTCTTTGTCTCCCCCTAGGGGTGAGCCTGCACAGACGATCCCATCAGCGTCTTCCAGTTCCCATGGTCATTCTACCTTTCATGAAGCATGGAGATCTGCACACCTTTCTGCTGATGTCACGTCTTGGAGAGGATCCCTTTGTAAGTCTTTCACTCACCCAGGAGATAAAAAGGCAGCAATCTGCATACAAGCGCCTATGTGTTCTCAAGCAACTGCATAAACAAATTGAAATGAAGTTGGCATTTGTTACATTACCGAGTGTTAGTTCCTTATATTTCACGCACACAATGATGTGCATCGTAGAAATGAGCAACCTGACCTGCCTTGTCGCTTACAGGTGCTCTCTGTGCAAACGCTGGTCAAGTTCATGTTGGACATAGCTCAAGGGATGGAGTACCTGAGCAGCAGAAACATCATCCACAGGGACCTGGCAGCACGGAACTGCATGTGAGCATGCTGACCCATCACTCCACCTTGGCCTTGTTTGCCGGTCTAGACGGGGAAAAGTGGTGTCTCAGCCGAAATAATCACCTTGGAAGCCTCCATTTATGATTCCCCATTCATTCTGTCTACGGCCTCAGAGCCACTTATTTAAATCGGGGTTGTGGCAAGAAAAAGCCTTTCTAAAGAAGCAGGGGGCATGACACAGGATGAAGTCACATATAATCAGGTACCAAGAGCAGCTTAGAGACACCGATCCACCTAAATTGCATGTTTTTGGACTCTACGTGGGAACCCAGAGTACTCAGGGGAAACAATATCATCACAGGGGTCAACTGCAAAGTCCACATACAGAACAAAGGCAGGAATTTAACCAGCAACCTCACTGAGTCCCATACAATCCCTCATATATAAACAGATGTCCTATGGTTGCATGATGCTTGTATGTATGCCATGATACTTAAGCATTCTGGGTATTATGCAAATAAGTCTGTGCCATATAACTTGACCCTTGTGTGGTATGCTTATTCTTCTTTTATAATGATAAGTGGATCTGTTTGTGCCGTTCTTTGGGCTCGAGTTCTGCTCGGTTTCAGCTGGAACTGTCACCTGTTTCCTCTCTTCTGTTACCAGGCTGAATGAGGACATGACTGTGTGTGTGGCTGACTTCGGGCTGTCCAAGAAGATCTACAGCGGGGATTACTACCGCCAGGGCTCGGTCTCCAAGCTCCCTGTGAAGTGGATCGCCCTGGAGAGCCTGGCTGACAACGTCTACACCACCCAGAGCGACGTGGTACGTGTCACAGGCGTAGGCGGAGAGCATGCAAGGTGTAATTAGCAAGACATGGTGTACATGTCACCACCTGACCCATGTTGTCACAGAAAGAAGTGTGAAGTGAGTGGGTGCAGTAATAGTGGTGGGACTGAGCCGCGGGACCTACAGACGCGTGGTGCCTTAAATAGAGAGTTATGTCACATGGTATGTGTTTTGCCATACATGCTAATGGAGAGTCGCTTAGGGCTCACTGGATGCCATGCATGTGACATCACACATGTCTACACGTTTATATATGATTAAACACATCTTCTTTGAAGGACATGAACTGCATTAATTTTGGAAAATATGCAATGTTCTAATTATTTGTTTTATTGTTACGTTAACATTTTGTATGTTATTTTAGCCTATTTGATTTATAATTTTTGTATGATAATGATACCTGACATGATTGAAAATCACCATTCAGTTGTTACGCGCCTAGGACACTGTACGTGTAATATGTCATACTATGAAATATATTGGGGCACAGTGCATATTTATGGTTAGGGATTTAGGAAACATCCAGCAATCAGTCTATGCTTGAGGCAATTGGGAAAATATGGCACTTGTCTTTATGGAGAACTGTGCATTGTTTATGAGAAGCATTTCAAGTGGCTTTTGCCATTACTAATGTTTAAGGTGATTAGAAAACACGCATCTGGGTTGGCCAAAGACTGTGATTATGCATGCACCCTGTAATAGCCAGACATACTGTCCAGAGTATTCCCCTGCTTTGTGCTCTGGGGCAAATAAAACCTCTCTGCGGGCCCTAGGCTGACATGAGGGCCCACGAGTCTGGCTGTTTGAGCTATTTCCAAGTGGCCCACTTGGGGGATCAATCAGCTGTTCCATTTTCCCTAAGGTCTCTCATTTTTCCAGGGCCCTAGACTGTACCCCTGGGATAACCTAAGCATTAGTCTGCTTCTTCTTGTGTGAGGTTTCAGGAGGTGTAATCATGTGAATTTGCCTTAGACACCAGGGTCAGGCCCCAAGCTCTTTGATACATGGTGTGGAATATTTAAAGACTACACTGAATTAGAACCTTCGTTATATACACTATATTGCCAAAAGTATTGGGACAAACCTCCAAATGATTGAATTCAGGTGTTCCAATCACTTCCATAGCCACAGGTGTATGCAATCACACACCTAGGCGTGCAGAGTACTTGTACAAAAGAATGGGTCACTCTCAGGAGCTCAGTGAATCCAGACGTGTTACCGTGATAGGATGCCACCTGTCAATTCATGAAATATCCTCGCTACTAAAAATTCTACGGTCAACTGTTAGTGGTATTATAACAGAGTGGAAGCAATTGGGAACAACAGCAACTCGGCCACAAAGTGATAGGCCACGTAAAATCATAGAGCGGGGACAACATATCCTGAGGCACACAGTGTGCAGAAGGTGTCAACTGTCTGCAGACTGCAGAGTCAATAGCTACAGACCTCCAAACTTCGTGCGGCCTTCAGATTAGCTCAAGAACAGTGCATAGAGAACTCCATGGAATGGGTTTCCATGGCCGAGCAGCTGCATCCAAGCCTTACATCACCAAGTGCAACGCAAAGCGTCGGATGCAGTGGTGTAAAGCACACTGCCACTGGACTCTAGAGCAGTGGAGACGTGTTCTCTGGAGTGACGAATCACACTTCTCTGTCTGGTAATCTGATGGATGAGTCTGGGTTTGGCGGTTGCCAGAAGAACAGGACTTGCCTGACTGCATTGTGCCAAGTGTAAAGACTGGTGGAGGGGGGGTTACAGTGTGGGGCTGTTTTTCAGGGGTTGCACTTGGCCCCTTAGTTCCAGTGAAAGGAACACTTAATGATGCAGCATTCAAATTCATTTTGGACAATTTAATGCTCTCAACTTTGTGGGAACAGCTGCACATCAGTGCACAGAGCAAGGCCTATATGGACATGGATGAGCAAGTCTAGCGTGGAGGAACTTGACTGGCCTGTATAGAGCTCTGACCTCAACCCGATAGAACACCTTTGGGATGAATTAGAGTGGAGACTATGAGCCAGGCCTTCTCATCCAACATCTGTGCCTGACCTCACAAATGCTCTCCTGGAAGAATGGCCAAAATAAACACACTCCTAAACCTTGTGGACAGCCTTCCCAGAAGAGTTGAAGCTGTTGTAGCTGCAAAGGGTGGCCCAATTCCATATTAAAGCCTATGTATTAAGAATTGGATGTCGTTAAAGTCCATGTGTGTGTAAAAGCAGGTGTCCCAATACTTTTGGCAATATAGTGTGTATCAGTAAAGTGTCCCTATCGTCACACTTCTGTTTTGATGTTTTCTTTGGTCCAACACATCTGTTTTTGATATGTGTGATGTCACACAGAAATAGAGGAAGGCTGCAGTTTGATCCCTGTCATCAATCACTTTGACACATAACATATAGCATAATCCGCTCCATCTCACCCTCCACCCCCCTCTTATGCAGCTCAGACATGACAAGCTCCATTAGCCAACCTATTACGCAGAAAGACTCCTCAATGCCTGTCTTTTATCTGTGAACTAAATGAGATTATTCGAGGCTCATCTCGATGTGACATCAGTCACGTACGCCGTATGGATCTGTTGCTCATGCTCAGTGACTCTGCAGAACAGCAGTTTCTTTTTCCAATAAATCTATTCATGCCACATTTACTGCAATATCAATTTAAGGGTATCACCTTACAGTAAGGCTTCCTTTTGACACATAAATGGTAGTAACTCATGAAAGAAAAGTATAACTTTATAATTGTCTGTTAATTATTTACAGTGTTACAACCTAATCAATATCCTGATTATAAACCATTCATAAGCCCTTTATAAAAGAGTAGTCTTTGTTAAGTGGCACCAATTTAAGTACTAGAATCTTTACTTTTGTATAGTTGATTAGTTAGTGAATCCCAGTTATCATATGATTACTCTTTAAATTGGAACAGATACATTTTACTATTCATGTAATTTCAATATATATTGGAAGAGAAGGCCCTCCTGGGGATTATTCATTAATTTTGTTTATTTTGATTGGCTTTCATTAAAGGAGGAATAGCACAGTTACTTTTCACTATACAGCAGTGTTTCCAAGCCCGGTCCTCAGGGACCCCCAGCCAGTCCATGTTTTTGCTCCCTCCCAGCTCCCTAACAGACAGTCCACTCCTACTGGGAGCTGGGAAGGAGCAAAAATGTGAGCTGCCTGTAGGTCCCCAAGGACTGGATTGGAAAACGCTGTTCTACAGGATGTCATCTAACATAGTACAATTCCCAATTTAAATTGGCATTTTAGCCGCAGCTGTTCAACCAGATCCGTGGAGCTGGCATGGCCCGAATTGAAGGCCTGCGTTTCTGTTTCCTACAGTGGGCATTTGGCGTCGCCATGTGGGAGATCATGACTCGGGGACAGACCCCATACCCCGGGGTGGAAAACTCTGAAATCTACGAGTATCTCATCAAGGGAGAGCGCCTCAAACAGCCATCTGACTGTCGGGATGACGTGTGAGTACCCGCCTTCTGTCAGGGAGACTGTCACGGATTATTTGAAATTGTTTGTTCTGAACGTGTTTGAGATTATTGACTTCGAACAGCAGTCATGCAAATCTCTGCCCGTTGTCTCCTCCAGCTACGAGATCATGCACAGCTGCTGGAGCCCCGTGCCAAAGTGTCGACCCAGCTTTCGACAGCTGATTGACCAACTGGATGCTGTGCTGGCAGAGCTCTCACCGGGTCCTGGGAAGGAGACTCTGCTGTACGTGAACCTGGAGGGAGAGGACAGCGAAGCGGAGGCAGCACAAAGGGCAGCAGCGCTGACGCCGGACGAGGCAGTGTGGGGCGTGCCCTGGCAGTGCGCTGGCATGGAGGAGAATGAGAAAGATTGGCTCATGGTGGCCTCAGGAGTTGGGTTGGGCCCCGGCAGCGATTACCGCTATGTCATCGATCCCCGCAATACTGCAGAGGAGGGCTCCAGCCAAGCCGGGGTAGGAGTCTCGCAGGAGGAAGCCAAGGAAGAAGACGACGACACAGTCATTGACGTTTGACGGGAGCAAGGTTTTCTGAACCCTGCCCCCCTGACACATGGCCCTCCTCCGCCACACTGACTGCACAGACAGATTAAGGTGGGGGGGAGTGGAGCCCAGGGCTCTCCTTGAGGCAACAGCAACGCTCTACCAGCCTGTCTCCCCCCAAGGGCGATGGTGGGAAAGGAGACGGTCTGCAATTGGTGCGGCAGAACTGAGCCAGGATACCCTACATTCTCGTGCTTTGGCTGCCTCCGCAGAGGCCCGTTGATTTTAAAAACCTGAGACACAATCATTTGCACTAATGCATTTTTTAAATAATGAAGATCATGCCACTAAACACTGTTTAGTAAAATGCGCTGCTAACTCTTAGGTTTCATAATGCTTTCTGTACTTTTGTACATTTCAGTGGATACAAAACCAAGACTTTGCAGTGGAAGTGGTATCTTGTTGTTAATTTGGTTGGGTCTCCTTGCATCTCTTATCATGGGACCTGATCTTACAACTCCCAGTATTTTTGAGCAGTATTAAACCTGCAGCCTTTACTTTGTCCTACTGCAGTGCATAACTTGGCTGTACTGTGTTACACCCATTTAGCACCAGGCAGCAAGCTGTACCTCCAGGTGATGCCTCACAGCTGGCTTGTAATCTGTGAATTGTTTGAAATGTTCCCTATATATATGTTTCGATTGACAAAGCATCAAACCACATAAATGCAGTTTCTGATTACATTTTGGTACTTCTCCAGCAACGTGAAGCTAAGAGCTTGAATTAGTGGTCATAATATGGATTCATGGGCACATGTATATGTAGAAGTTTGAGTAACCTGTCAACCCTTCATGTGACCACATGCAAACCTGCCAAATCTGAATTCGCCATCCTACCCTCCTGAAATAATTTTGACTGTTGTGACCCCATACCATACATCTGCAAACAAAATGTGCACAGGGAATTACACAGCTCGAGTATTAGTTTGTTTGCATGTTTATTACTCGCAGCTGCCTTGACAAGAATGAGCAGTTGGAGAATGGATAAATGGTGGGATGTTTATAATTTAGGTTATTTTTGTTTATAACTTAGGTTATTTTTGATTTTGTTGGGTTTTTTTTTTATGTGAGTGGGGTCAGATTGGCTTGCTTCCATTATGTGAGTCATGCACTGGGTTACGAACCAAATCCTGTTACGTGGCCACGGGTCAAGTCATTTATTTATTTAGCGCATTTAAAACAACAGTAGTTGACCCAATGTGCAGTGCCATTCTCCTCATATACAGAGCAATAAGGGCCAATTAAGCAAATATTTGGTAACGCTTCACGTTACCTATGTTAGGATATACTTACATGCTGCTTATGAATGTCCTATGAGTGAATAATGAATGCATTATAAAGGTGCAGTTAATGTAAAGCGTTATGAAATATTAAAAACATTCAGAAGATATATATACCTGACATCCTCCTGGTGCAGTTAAGTTGGACTTTTGAGAGACATGCTTGCTAATCTGTCTGCTTCCCCTTCCATTGTGTATTGGCTCCATGGGAGATTTGCAAGGGAAAGTTGATGAATTCTCCCCTCTTCAAAAAAAAAAAAAAAGAAAAGAAATTGACATGATAAACGGTTCTATAGATGTTCCCCGTTGGAACTCTGTTTTTCAGGCTGCATACTCAGGGATCCTTGGTTGAAAATTTCAGCTGGGTGTTCATCACCACAATTCCAAAAAAAGAGAAATTGGTTAACGGCAAATATAGCAGCAGTTGCTGGCTTTTAGTAAAAAAAAAATATATAGTACTGAGGTTTTCGTGTATTTAGTTGGATATCGAGAAAGGACATCAGACAGAATTAGTAAGGGGTTTGCGGAGACACTAACTTGGATTGCAGCTGTAATGGTGGTGTTTCGAAATTGTTGTTTTAGTTTTTGTACTGAAAATGAAAATCATACCTGAACTTTTATTGGGATGTTGAATCATGATTATTTTGGCAATTTAAAGTCATTCAACATTTGTAATCTTAAATATGTTGTAATAATTTTTATTAAAAGGTTTTTAAAATTACATTAACCCAAAGGGGCTGAGAGTCATTTTCATTAGAAGTATTTTCTGTTATTAGCTGATGTCGTCTGTGGTCAATCGAAAACAAGTTCATATTCTACATTAGTAGTAGTAGCAGTTGTAGTACTTTATTGATCCCGAAGAAATTACAGAAAGAACTAGTCATTAGGCATCCATAATACAAAAATCTGGGGGATAAAAACAGTACAATTACTTGTACGTTGCGTAGCGTAGCGATCTTTTTGTCATTATATAATTGGCTAAAAATGGGGCGTGGCCACGGACACGTGATTACTGCTCACCTTTCTACGCTAGTGCAGTTGGTGACTTGGGGGCGGGGCTACCGACGGTAAACGTTAGCGTGGCCCTTAGGACACATTTATTTTGATAATTATTTACATAACCCGTATTGGTGCGAGGGGACTAGAAAGCTACCCTGAACTACACGTTATATACTCCCCAAAATCCGCTTTACTTTGCTGCCACTGATACGTATAGCTTAAAATATATATGGTTATTACATTACATTATACCTGTGTATTTACTGCTTTTCGAAAACCTGCATCTTACATACGATGTGGAATATCTCGGTAACAAACACTCTAAGCAGACTATGACAACAGACAGCTGCGCTTTTGTTGCAGGCATTCTCTTTACTTTACGATACTTGAAGGTAACTAAAGGTAAGAAGGCAGCGCGCCTCTCTCGTTCGTCAGATGCAGCAGCTCCGATAAAGCATCAGTAACGTATACCGCAAATACATATGACAAGGCGACTAGTTTCCATCCCATCTGTGCTTCGATTGCGGACCTTTCTTTTATTTTTGTAGATAAACGTTAACCTGTGCCGGATGGTGTCCGATTTTGGCCGATCTCAAAAGGCCGTCAGTGGTAATTTGACACCTTAATACTGGTAAGGCAGGGAAAGCCAGCATGCGCAATGTCTATGCAGTTTGAGTCTGAATTTGTAAGAATATCCCCGCTCACAGTCTAAGTATAAAGTTATAATTGTTGTCAGGCTTTATAATGGCATATTAGACAAACTGGCGCGCATGTCTGGTATTTCTCCACGTTTAATTTTACTGGGCCTATGACTGTCGCACTAGATCACATGAAGCTTTCGAAAAGAAGCTGCAGACCTTCGCCATGGATGTCCTACTTCCATTATTTAACGCGACTTTGCCACGACGAAGAATTAGGCGTAAGCATAGTTAAAGGACCAGCCATTAGATGTAGGTTTACTGTGTTACCAGGTCTTATATTTCAGGCCAGCGACATTACGCCGTCCAATTCCCGACATATTATAACCGTTAAGCAAACGCTGGGGACAGGTAACCACGACCATTTTTCCTTCACAACGTGCCGGTAACACGTGATGGCGGATTGACCAATAACAGCTGACTAATCAAACTCCCATCCATCATCTTATTCGTGCGCTAGTTACATGCGGTAACATTAGAAAGTAGTTCAAATGAGTGTTCGGGAGAAAATGGTTTAAAACAGTTAGTTATACAGTTTTCATAGTAGAAGTTTTTTCACAACGGTATGTAAAGGGTTATCTTTTAATAGAAAACTTGACACTACTGCACAACAATTTAATATCTTCAGAAGGCAGTTTCTAAATGAAATAAATATTAATTCTTTAATTATACGTTTTATTCATTGCTGCCTTGCAGGAATACTGCTTCTGTAGTGTTCCGGAAGTGTAGTCCCATTCGTGTAGCTGATTCAAGTGATGTATTAAAACTGCATTGCTTGAGGATTACCAGGCCATTTGCGATCAGCCTAATTCTGCGCAATAAAAGGGATACCCCTTGTTAAACGCGTGACTTGAAAGAGTGAAAAACATCTCAGATTGTGAACAAATGTGTAACCAACTTTAAACTTTTCCAGCGAATCAGATTTCATAATAAATTACATAATTATCAATTTCTGCTAGTTTTATTAAAGATTATTAAAGTTTATATGATAATACTGTTACATATTTGTGAAATCATGAAAAGACAGAAATTTCGTCTAATAAGGATTTCTACACGATTAAGTTGATTTGGATTTATTACCATTGTTGCTTTTATTTTTATTCATATGGACTTAATTTGTGTGTGTGTGTGTGTGTGTGTGTGTGTGATGGGGTTGTCTTCCATGTCTAGTATTGGTCTGAAGTCCAACTTGTGCATAGAGACCTTTCACATTCTCCTTGTGGTTTCCTATGACATGACAGATCAAACATTCCCCTGAGTGTACCCTGCCGTGGACATTATGCCTTGAGCCTAATTAAGCTGTTATTGAACATGAATGAAGTAACTTACTGAACCAAGTTCTTACCAAGGCTTCTTATAATCTGTAATATCTTAACCACAGCATTTTGAAAATAGTTGTATTTGGAAAACAGTCATTTAACACAGCTGTAAGATGTAAAGGGGGGGCCTCGGGCTGTGTTTATTAAGAAATAGTTCTGAATGAAGGGATGGCATAGTGCAGGGTTATTCAAATCACGGTCCTCGAGGTCCGAGCACTGCTGGTTTTCCAGCCTTCCTTTACCTGTCAGTCAGGTGTGAAGGCTCTGACCAATCAGAATCAGTAATTATTAAACTAACTACCTGGGAGAACTGAAAACGAGGCCTGGATTTGGAATCGAGGTCCAGATTTGTAGAACCCTGGCATAGTGGTAAAGTGGGTTGCACCATTGCATCAGACCGCCAGAGCTGTGAGGTTTATTCCTTATCATGGTTTTGCTCTGCACATGGGATTTGCATGTTCTTTCTGTGTTCGTGTGAGTTTGCTCCAGGCAGGAACTCTGCTTTTGTCCCATGGTCCACAGATATGCAGTTTTGGTGAATATTAGTGTTTCAAAATTCCTAAATGTGAGGTTTGCGAGTGTGTACCAGGTGATGCCTTGTGCCCTGTGATAAACCCCATACTGAAGAAGCTGGTAAGCAAGATGTATGGAGTCACTTTGGGTTTTATGTCTTAAATACACTTTAGTTAGGTAACCATAGATTTACACTTCTGTAGAGATGAATGTATCTTAAATGTTAAACACATATTAGATTAGATTAGACTTTATTAATCCCACAATGGGTAAATTCTTTGATTCATATGATTAAGCCTAAACACAAAATTCCCTTAAAATTCTAACAGTGCAATGGATCATGTTTTATAAATTATTCCAAAATGCAAATATACTGCATTCATATAATGCCCACAATTTTATTTTTTGCTCTATGGAATAAATTAAATCTGAAATGTAAATATGTATACTGGTTGGAAGACAACTGTATCAGTAAAACGTCATTTTTGGATAAGTATAAAGAAATGAACAAAAAAACAAGAAAGCCTAAATTATATAACATATCCCCTACAGTAAATTGGTATATCTGTTATACACATCCAAATGTGCAAAAGCCTTGCAATCTTTCCCATTTTCTTAACGAAAAGTTTTAAATGAACGATACAGGACATCTGCGGTAATCAAATTTAATCAACCAAATACAGACAGAAAGAAACATGCTGCCTTATATTATTGCAGTCCGGTCGTCGTGGGATACACAAATGGCGTGGGGCATCATCCTGCCTCTAGCAGTTAGCAGTACCGTAATAGTAGTACATAACAGCACTGCAGCCTCATAACAGCGCTCCTCGATGTCGCCACCGTGAGAAGCAACACGATAAAATCTTGCCACCCACTAATCTTTCGACAAATCTGTTCACGTTTCCTATCATAAACACACGTTCATCTCGCACTAGCCGCTTTCGAAAGGAAGCTTTTTGAGCTCTGCAGCCGCATTTGCGCCAACACTTCCCTCGCGCAGTTGCCCGAGTCGCGCACTTAATGGCACGGTGAGGAGAGTCGGGAAGGAGTCTGCGCTGTAGAACGTGAGCGTGCCACCGCGGGGGCCGTGACGTCACTCCTCGGAGCACGCATGTTATCTCCAGCTGGGTGAGACGCACGGGGTAATGTTTGTTAGGGGGGAAAGAGAAAGGACGAGGAGACGAAGGTTTCGAGAAACGACGTCCAGTTTTCTTCCCCGTCTTTGCAGGATTAGGAAAAAAGGTAAAGGGCTCAACTAAGGAAACCGAAAAGCGCTCGCGCGATGGGAGAATGGCCGTGGCCACGCTCGAAGTGTTCAGGTGCTTAAAAAACCCGAGGTTAGTCTTCTGTTCCCATCGTGTCGGCCCGGGAATCGCGCGCCATTAGGGCCGGTGGCGTTGTGCACGCGCTAGGATTGGCAGGGAAGTCGGTGCCAAGTTTAACACGGAGGCCTTCAGTCACGAGTTGCTCCCCGATGTCGAGGAGCATTCGAGGCCCCTGTTGTCTTCGACGGATGCGAAGACTTTAAAGTTTTCTGCAGCCGTTTGCTGTCCATGTGCCGTAGGGTTAAGTTGAGAAATTTAGCACCACAACAGAAACGCGTCGAAAACACAGGAAGTGGCGAGGCTACAAGCAACGCCGCAAGCTAACTGGACAAATGGATCGCGGTCTCGTTTATCACTGCAGGGTTTGGATACCGTTACTGGTTATACGTTCTTTCAGTGGTCTCCCAGTCACATAAGAGTAATTTTAATGAAACACAATAAAAATAATTTACTTGAAATTAAAATAATTAATTTCATATTCTGTAATGAAATTTGCATGTCTAAAAAAGATGTTGAAATATACTGATAAGCCTTTTCTGCACCAAGCAGTTCTATTTAGCGGATCATAGGGGGCGTGGCTTATCATGGATTACATCAGCGCGAACGTTTAGCTAGGTAAATTGCCCCGCATTATTATTGACGATCGATAATTATTTTTATTGTATTCATTATTTTAATTGTTGACTTTAAAATAATTTTTTAAAATGTGCTTGTTTATAAAAATTAAGTTTTTTATAACTTTTATGAATTGGCATAATTCAAAACATGCAGCATAATTTAAAGTTTGCATTAACTTGATTAAAATTTCTTCCCATAAACGCCCAATATTCTTTACCCAGGTATGCCTCACCCCAGAGTTTAGTGTGTGCGTTCTCTGGAAAGGTTTGGCTAGTGATGTCAATCTGACTCTTCATTCCATCTGTGTCATGTTGGTCTAAATGGTTGATGAGTGACATTTTTCACAGGGAATATCCTGACGAGCAGCTGCATAAAAGTCCCCCACAGGCTTGTTGTGTTTGCTGCTTCTGGAATGAAGTGAACCGGATGCGGCGCTCTTCCATGCAATTATGTGGCAAAACAAGGAGTAGTTCAAAGAGATTAATCTTACATTCACTTAGTCGCAGTGAGGATGCGAGATGCTTCTGGCTGTTCGTCCTCTTAGAGGTTTGCAGTAGAAAGGTAGGAAACGAGTGCAAGTTGGATCATCTATAGCAGATGGAATCTAAAATGGGCTGTGATGTCATGGTGAAAATACCAAGTTAGCAATGATTTTTTGGATTTGTATCTTGAGTTACACAAAATAGTATACATAATCCCACACATTGAGGTGCGGAGCATTTGGCTCCATCTGTTGTTAGAGCAGCATCCAGTCCATAATGCAGTACATTTATCATGAGTTAGGTTTTTTTTTTTTTTGTCCATATAGCCTCATAACCAATGATACTGTGGTATCTTTTGAAACTTCATGAAGACTGCATGGTCTTTGAAATTATAAAACTTCAATTGAAATACTAATTATAAAAGTGATTTTTAATATACTTAGATATTATGAATATTTACCTTTTAGTATACGTGTCGGCTATCTGAGACTTCTATGAATATATTTAAATTACTACTGGCATGTCATCTTGAAATATTTGCCTCCGTGTATGATGGAAAATCACTTGATTTGGAAATGGCATGACTGACAAAAGGCATTCTTCAGTCTAGTTAAAAGGACTGAATTCTTTCAGTCTTTATACTTGTCCTGTATGGTGTACAAGGTACATTTAGTTTTTATTTTGTAGTACTTACTCTACATTATTTCTTATATGAAACTATCATATCTTGTGTATAAAACACATTATATTGTATCATAACAGCCCATCTGGCATTAAATGACTCTTTAGTTCATTTGAAACAAGCCAAACCTCTTTTTTTGGGGGGGGGGGGGATTCAATAGTAGTTCACAATTTTCTTGCTAAGGTAGAACTAACTTTCTGTCTGTCTTTTTAAATATATTTAACTGGAATTATTAATTTAAGCTGCACCCCTCTGTGGACTTGAGTCTTTCGGTTAAAGGTCCATGTTTTTAGCTACCATGCTGCCTATGGGAATTTAACCTTTTGATTTTGTAGGCCTGAATAGTACCCTAAAAACTAGTTGTAGTTTATTTTAAAGACCGATTGGATATAATGATGCTCATGCATCAGTTTGGGGCGGAGCATGCCTGTCTGTTAAATCATTAAATCTTTTTTTGGCTGATCCACCAGAAAACATAACATTGTGATATCCAAGAATGGAAGGATTATCGCTGATTTGCACAATTTATCGAATGCTGTGAGCATTTGTATGAAACTCGTCTTGTTTTTAGTTATTGCTAGATGTTTTTTCCTTCTAGTCTTGCAAAAGTAATTCTCATGCAACATTGCTATGCTATTTTAACTCAATTAAAACAATGACAAGTATTATGGTTTTGTTTTCTTGACAGGTTTCAAATACAGTCAGTATATATAATAGTTAATCTGCAGTTGCCTACACTTCACATACAAGTCTGTTCAAGAAATGTGCAGACACACACACTTATGCAGTTCTTACTATATGTCTTGTAAGGGGTCAACATGGATGCCCATTTAATGTCCTTCTGGTTCTCTCTTCAGCATGATGACTAAGCAAACTGGCGGCACAAGCTAAACAGCTTGACTCCCCCCAAAGGTCACGGCATTTCTGTCATGGCTGCTACTGAGAGTCAGGCTCTAATGGTGCTCAAGGAAGAGGGAGCAGCTACCCCTGTAACCACACCCACCTCCGCTGCCACACCCCTGGCCTTCTTCGTTATCCTCAAACCGGGGCACGCTAGCGAAGGAGGGCAGGACCAGGGCATCCTGGTGACCAACCAGGAAGCCAACATGGCAACGACATCTACCCAGGCCACGCCAGCGGCAGGTCAATCTGCTTGTGCTCCCAGCCTACAGTCGGACATATGTTCCACCATGGCTGATCCACATCCGGAGAACCTGCCACCGGAAACTGTCTGTAAGGGTGTAAGGGTCACTCTGGACAACAACAACATGTGGAATGAGTTCTATCGCTGTAGGACAGAGATGATCCTCACAAAGCAGGGCCGCCGAATGTTTCCCTACTGTCGATTTCGAATTTCTGGCATGGAACCCTTCCAGAGGTACATCCTGGTGATGGACATCACCCCCATGGACAACCACCGCTACAAGTGGAATGGGCGGCAGTGGGAAACCAATGGCAAGGCTGAGCCTCATGTGTTGGGTCGCGTGTTCATTCACCCAGACTCCCCCTCCTCCGGCCACTATTGGATGCAGAACCCCGTGTCCTTTTACAAGCTGAAGTTGACCAATAACACGCTGGACCAGGAGGGCCACGTCATCTTGCACTCCATGCATCGTTACCTGCCCCGGCTGCATGTGGTGCCCGCTGACAAAGCCACAGAAGTCATCCGGTTGAATGGTCCCAACGTATTGACCTTCACTTTTCCCCAGACTGAGTTCTTTGCTGTAACAGCCTATCAAAACCTGCGTATCACTCAGCTGAAGATAGACTACAACCCGTTTGCCAAAGGCTTTCGTGACGAAGGGTCATGTAGCCGGCCAAAGCCTGACTCTTCTGAAATGTGTTTGGAGCTCTATAGGCCCACGTTTGGCAGTGAAGAACAGCAGACTATCAAGGTGAACCAGCAGCACTTGGACAATAGTGATGCCTATGATTCTTTTGTCATGGATAAGGAGCTATTCCCTTCAACGGAGTTTGGCACTGAGATGCTTGATAATGGCATATCTCCACCTAAAGCAGCATTTGCAGACAAAGACCACAGGTGAGTAAATAATGTATTTCTTGGTGTGACAGTCTCCCCGAAGTCTGGGTGTTGCCTCTCTCATCTACGGTTATGGATTTAAGTCCCACCTCTCGCTGCATCTTTGCATGTTTTTCCCACAGTCCAATGATGTATAATTATCATAATTAAGTAGTAACAAATGCTTCACCTGTAAACTATTAGCGACTTACAGGGAGCCAATGAGTAGCTTGCAGAACTCTTTTTCGAAATAGGATAAATTTTAAAAAGCATTTTTTCTACATGTTCATTGAGGCACCACAAGGAATTTCACCTTGTTTCTGACAATGAGTGCTGCTATCCTTTCCCCTGTTGATATAGTCTTGCATCACACGTGCAGCTCCAGAGATTTTCTGTGTAGAAGCAGCTCTCAGGTTGAAGATGCCTTTGTGTCTTCAGCCTGCCTGTAGAGTATGATTGTGTCGGTGTGCGTCTGTTTGTGCCCTGGGATGGACAGGCACCCTGTCTATGGTGTTCCTTGTGCTGCCTGGGATAGACTTGAAGCCCTCTGTGACCCTGACCAGGATGCAAAAGCACAAAGACAGTGTGTGATAAGGAGGACACACAGGCGGTGTTTTTCACCACTTAAACCATGCATTTGCGTGGGGCCCCCTCTTGGTCACAAACAGTCACCACACTATGTATTAAATTAACACATTCTATGTTTAGGAGATGGTGAAACAGCATGTTCTGCTAACCAGCTAGCCAGCTACCAGCTTCTGATTATACTCTCTGGCTATAAAATTTAATTTAATATTTGAATAATTAGGGGGAGCAGGACAGAGGCGGTGGGGGGGCCTGAATGGCTCTTTTGAGCTTTTCTCTAGAAACGGCAAACTCGCCCCTGGGAAATTGGTACTGTTCTACAGATGATATTGTATTTCTGTAAGTTTTAGCATTAGTGGTTTTTTATATAAATAATAGTATAGAGGAGTTTCACATTCAGATTTTCACCTGTCTTGCTGTACCAGACTGGACAGTGACATTCTGGTTATTGATTTTTTTTTCTCAATACTATCTTTTTTTGTGACTGTCATGAAGCGTTCAACCCTCGCTCCCTGATCTGTTCTCTGTACATTTTTAATTGTTAGCACAGTTAGCTAATTATAAATGAAACATCTTTTGCTATTCAGTTAGCATTTAAATGTATTTTTAAATGTAATATTTAGGAAGATTAATTTTGTGTAATTTAAATTCTGTTTATCCATTCCAGTGCCATGATGTGCTTAGAGTCTGTTTCAGGAAGTGCAGGGTTCCAGGCTGGGTGCATCCTGGACAGGATGTCAGTCTATCACAGGACATACATGCACAGTCACACACTTCGGGTAATTTAGATGCTGCACTTCTCCTGACTGAATATTTTTGAGCCAGCCTGACCTGCATGCAAACTTTACACATGCAGAGCCTGGTATTGGGAGTCACACACCACCCCCCCCCCCATCCCAGGCAGTGTGAGACTGTGTGGCTCACCACTGCACATTTCATTAAATGTTATTGGCAGATGAGTTCAGTCACTCATTTCCATCACACAACTGTTTTTATATTCCTATATGTAAAATGTTTTTCACTTGACATTTTTAAGTTTAAAAGGAGTTAAAATAATTACCCATAGATGGTATTAAATCAAGCATTTAAAACATTTTTTGGGCTATCACTATCGATTGCATCAATAATCGTGTAATGTACCGACTTTAATCTGTTGATTCATCAAATCATTTTTAATTTATAATATAATGGATGTATTGCATTTGCCACAAAGCACGAATAAACCAACCACTGCGAGGTCACGGATACGGTTAATTTAAGACTGTCCAATTCACTTAAGTTGCGTGTTTCTGGAAAGTGGAAGGAAAACGGGGAACCAGCCAAAAAGCCTCACCCACAAGGGGTGAACATGCGGACTCCGCACACAGCGGCAGCAGCAGCGCTACCCACTGTGCCACTGTGCCCCCCTGACTGGCTTCTACAATGCGTGATGTTAATATTGACATGGCATTTCATGGCATTTTTTGGTCAGTCACGGATAACAAATTTTAGCAAGCTTTGCGGTTTTAACAATTCTTCCTTTTCAAAATTATAGTATATGTTACAAAAAAATCAGTCTAAAGTTTATCGCTTTATGAGCTCTGCATGCACTCTGTAATGATCATAATAATTTTCGTGCTTACTGTTCATGGACAATGTGGCACATTTGTGGGAAATTAAAAATGAGCGCAGTGGAGAAAGGCAAGCAAGAACTGGTCACAAAAAGACTCATTTTCTGATGTCTGGAAATGTTTTGTATTTCATAGAAACTATTGAGCAAAAGGGAATGATTTTTCGTCAGTGCTTTGTGTCTGGTGCTATTAATGGCAATACCACAAACTTATGTGGCAGACTTCATTGGTATATAGTTCACTATGTAGTTCATTTTCAACTGTTAAATATCACAAACATCAAATATCGTTCAGCCCTACTCAAAACACTATGCTCACAAAACAACATATGTTTAATTTATACCGTATTATGTAAGATGATGTGGTTAAGTGGCAGGGCTAACTTTTGTTTTAGCAGCAAATAGTTTGACTGAGGAATCGTAGAAAGTAAAAAAAATTATCGTGTAACATCATTGCGCAGTGCATTATGGGGCAACCACATAAACCTATATGATTGCAAGAAACATTTTTTGTACTGCCATTCATGACCTACTACATTGTTAGAACTGAAATATTCATCCTTTGTGATTATTCTAAATAAATTTTGTGATTGGTTTGAAATTTAAATATGCATTATAACAAGCTTTAGTCTTAAGAATAAAATAATAAAAAAAAATTAACTGAATTAAATTAGGGTTGTCAATTGATAAAAGTGATGACAAAGACGGGCTAGCCCTACTCTGAGTGGCTAAATGGGACATATCAGTGGCTAACCTAACATTATTGGCTGAGTCTGTCAAACCCGAAAGTCATCTTTAAGATATATTTGCTTGCATTCATACTGTGGTGATATTTTTCTGCATTGCGATACTGATAGATGACTACATTTTCATTCACTTTTAATGTGAAGTGCATCCACGCAACTGATGGATTTTGCTCATTATTTTCACCTTTGTCCGCTATTCGCCATCTCCCTTCCGTCATATTGCAGAGTAATTGAGAAGGACAACTTTGATAGTTTCAAATGATCGAGTAATCGAATTTATTCAAGTAATCGTGTGATGGCTCTGTGCATTTCTGTTTCGTTAACCAAAACAGCTCTTTTTGTTTAACCGTAATGCATTGCGTCAGGATCAGAATGCGTTGCTTTAAGCCAGCGCTGTAAGCAAGTCGAACGCACCCAGTGACCGGACCGGGGAAACATACTGAAACGCGGACTTGATACAGAGGACTAATGACAACAACCAGAAATTGCTGATCACACAGGGATTCCACATGGGGTTAACGAGGGGGCGTGGCACACGGAAGGACCGGGGCAGGACAGGGGTAATGTTGGGATAAGATCTTTATCATTTTGGAAGCCATTAAAAAAAATGCTCTTTTTGTTTTATCCTGTTCATTTTGTGTTTAAATGCTAAAAAAACATATTGGAAAAACATATTTAGGTGTAATTTTGGGGGGCTGGGAACCAATTATTTCTTATGGGAAAAAATAAGATCAGAACTCAAACTTTTTAGGATTCGAGTCCGGAACGGATTAAGTTCGAGAACCGAGGTACCACTGTATTTAGCTTGGTAAGAACATGTTTGCTTTACCGGCATGATTTTTATAATTATTACTGTGTTGAGGTGCAATGATTAATCAGCTTAAAAATCCACAAAACTACCAAATTAGTTGCCAACATGTTTCTTGCGCTAATTCAATGTTTTGATACCACTCACTAGAAAGGAGTTAACCAAAGCGTGATGGTAGCTTTGAAATCAAATAAGTGTTGGGAGCATTTCACGCTAAACTCCGAAAAAATAAAGGTTGTCAGTTGCCCAATTTGTAAAGCTGACCTGGGAACACATCTGCTATGCTCGAGCATCTGAAGAGGAAGCACGTCAGCTCGCTAGATTAATAGGACTTATCTCAGTAAGTTAGCTAATGTTAATATTAAAAACCATTCTACTTCATGTTATGAGCTGTAACATTTTCTGTTTTGAAATGCATATTCTCTTGAATTGTTAATGGATGTGGATAATGCCAGCATTACACCTAATGACTTTTCAAGCGATTTCACTGTCGCAAAAAAATGTCCATTGTAGGACAAAATCATGAGAGTTGCTGGAGTTGTAGCATTCTCCCGTCATCTCGATCATTATGTGTAAAGTGGTCACAGTAGCTGTTTTAAGTCAGTCAATCTAGCATCTTGACATTCCGCTAAATGTGTTTAGTATTATCATGAGTTTTAAGTCTCGGCTCATGCAAATAGTAACGTGGACATTGTCAACAAGACATCATACCTCTCCTGGAAGTTCCAGGATTCTCCTGCATATTGATAGGGACTCCCTGACTCCCATAAATGATATCTTCATCAATCTATGATATTTTTCATCGCAGCGTGAGAGAATCTGCTTTGTATTAGCCTATACTGTTATTCTGATGTCATCATGTATACTGTATAGGCTAATGCAAAGGCAAATGTGTGTGTGTTTGTGTGTGTGTTTCAGTGGTGTGGACTAATTCAGCATATGCATGTGCACGCGTTTCCATAATTTTGCTTTAAACAGCATATTGACTTTCCTCCATTTCAATACAGATCTGTGATTGTAAAATTTTAGTTGCAACAGAATGTAGACGGACAGCAGAATGCACAAAGCAGAGAATGCACATTTCTGTCTTTTTCTGTAAAAATTTAAATTTACATGGATTGTTTTGGTTTACCTGATTTAGAGAAAACTGATGTAGTTTTGGTGTATTTAATTGCTTCTACTTAGCTTATCCTTCTTTTTAAATTTTAACAGGACAAATGGATATTGTATTTTTAAAAATGAATGGATGTTCATTAAGAGTGCATTTTTGAATAAAGTATTCAGCTTTGTTGTCTTGACTGTTAGCATGAAACAACCTCAAGCTAAATTTAACAGCTGATAGCTGATACCTAATAAGTGTTATTTGGTAACTGATTCATCAGACTAACCGATTACTCATTTCAATGATTGATTAAGGTATTTTGCTTCATCAATATGCATTTATTGGCTGATCTAATTACATTACATATAATACAAATTTTCAGGCACAGACTGAAGCAGTAGCTATAAATACTATGGAAAATTGTATTAAGTTATAACTTAGTAAGAAGGGTACGCACGTAACGGGTCCCCTCTCAATAAACTCTGCACAGTGATCCATAACACGTCTAGCAGCAAGCAATATCATATAATATCCTGTCTATTCAATCATGATGGTATATGAAAAATTCATACCGCATGGGAAATTGAAACCGGTATACTGGATGAACCGATATACTGCCCAGCACTACGTAATATAAGCACAAATAAAGACCCTCTTATTCTCTTCCACGATATTACATTCCTGAAATATTTTCTATATGCATCATCCGTATGAATCTCATGCAGTCCCAATCTCGTTCCTCCTCTAACTTGTCATTTCTATGTGGGTACCCACTTGGAGATGTAGTTCAGTAAATGCACCAATTTAATAATCATTGATCATTCACTACTTTTCCATGGACAATAATGTGACTTTGGGTAATTATCAGACTTGGTGAAATGTATTTTTTGATGGTCATGAAGTTATCAACAGTGTCACAATACTCAGAACTTAAATTCAGAAATTCTACCCCCCACCATAGATCCAGTTTTATGACTGTATCATAGTGCCTAAGTGTTCAATACTTTATTCATAATTCTCCGCTGGTCATGAAATTTCTAATTAATTTCAGAATGAAGTGTGAGTCTCCTGCTTGAACCTGATGGGACAGGGAAGATCTGGGGAAGTTTTTTCATTGCAAAATTCCCAAAGTCATATTTCCATAAATGTCACTTAGTACACGCTGCACTGCTTTTTTAATTGACTTGCCTTAACTTTTTTTTGAGAAAACGTTTTGTTTCACATTGACTTTTTAGCCGGAGAAAACGTGCTCGGGTCGCTGAGGCCGTGCGGGCGGTGAGGCCAAAGCTGAGGAGGGGTGTCCCGGAGAAGAAGGATAGAAATGGCACTTCAGAGCAACCTGAGAGTGCCGGGATCATTGTTAAAGAGGAGGAGGAGGAAGTGGAAGTTTTTAGTGACAATGCAGTTCCTCGAAAGTCAAAGTTGGACAGTTCTGCTGAACAGACTGACGTACAGGCGGAGGGACCAGGAAACTGCAGGCCTGTGGTGGCTGAAGAGGTCTCTGTTCAGAGTACCGACACTTCCGCTCGGGATTCCACCCTGTCCTTGGGCTCTACGAAGGGCGCTTCAGAGACTGGCACCTCTGGCAGATCCGGCCAGAAGAGTGTGCTGCCTGCTAATCTGCATGAAATCATTCCTTTACCACAGCTCGCCCAGTTCCTCAGGGGGCGGAATTTGATAGCAAGATCCAAACCCAAAAAGACAGACATTTCCCCCTCGACAGTGACTCCTACGCTACTGCCTCGTGTCTCACCTCCTTTGCCACCGGACTCAGAACCTATGCCAAATGTGGCTAACCCTTCCGCTCCCGTCCCTGAGTCATCGGAGGAGCCTGGAGACTCTCAGGAGAATCTGGAGACAGCATCCATTCCATCGACCTCCGAACCCTTGGGCGAGGTCCAGGCTGACTCTCAGTCATCACTGGTGAAGAAGAAGCGGAAATTTGGAGCGAGGTACCGAAGGCACGGCAAGTTTGTCAGGCGACCAGAGGTGGGGAGTGGTCCCACAGATGTCAACATGCAGCCAAACCTGGAGGATGTGGAGGGCCTGCTGTTCGTGTCATTCACTTCCAAGGTATCGCAGAGGATTGTATGCATGCCTGATGAAAGCCTAAAAAAGAGGGTTGCTATTATTCATTGTGCTTTTTTGGTTTTGCGCAATTTTTTAAAAATAGCATTATATAGACAACAGGTATACCCTCTACTTCACTGAATTCACACTTGATTTTTATTTGCCAGTGAATTATGTAGGGATTTTTTTTTTTTTGGGGGGGTGGGGGTCGTCGTATGTTTGTTTATTTCTTTTAACACATCTTTTCCCCTTAAATATACTTGTGGTTACCAGAAGTCAACAGCCAACATTGATTTCATGACGCCTGATATTGTGTAAGCATACAGAACAGCTTATCTTCATTGCTTTCCTGTCATCACCATAGGAAGCATTAGATATTCATCTTGGGGACCACTCCGTGAATAGAGAGGCTCCACCACATCCTCCAAAAGGCCAGGAATCTCCAGCAGATTACGGTATGGAGAGCAGCTCAGCCATTTGTCTTGAATGGACTATATTGTGTATTCCAAACCATGTACTGGGTTTGTTACTGATCTCTTCTCATCCCTCTTTCCTGCCCCAAACCCATCCTTGTGAAGAGTCTGAAACTATACAAGAGAAGATTACCCGTCTCGAACCGGCACTGCTGCTTGATCTGAAGCGCATGAAACACAGACAGGTGATCCACCCTGTCCTGCAGGAAGGTATATATAATGTCACAGAGAACGATTGTCTTGATTCTTAAGATTGCTTGTGGGTGCATGATAGGAACGGTGATTTAATTTTTTTTTTTCTCAACCCTTCGATAGTAATTAATGCTGATGTTTTGTTACTCTCCTCTTGTTTGTGTAGTTGGGCTGAAGTTGAACTTGCTGGACCAAACTCTGCCTATCGACCTGCAGTATTTAGGTGTGTGCTTGCCTTTGCCACCTCCCTTCTGTCCTCAGGAAGATGGGGTCTCTGCTTTGCCCACCTCTTCTCCAGGTGAGGAGAAAATTCATCCTTAACAGTGATTTTGTTTTGTTTCACACACACACACACACACACACACAAACACACACACACACACACAAACACAAACACACAGAGGTATCCAAAATTAAAGAACACAAAACTAGATACAGTAAAAATTTTAAAGACTTTATTACATGTAACCCATTTGTATGATTAGCTGTATATTTTTGCTAATTTTATTTTGTCATTTTTCCTCCTCTCTGAACTCTTTCCCTGAACTGGAAGAAATACTTATGACAGAAGTAAATGGTACTATAACAAAACTGATTAACTAATCCCAAGGCAGAATTGATGGTTTAAACAAGAAAGTTGTATTATTGGAGTCTGTTCCAAAAACTAATTTAAAAAATCAGAGAAAATAGTTACAGTAATGTTTGAGAATGACCCATGTGCTCCCGTTTGTGTTAATTGTACACTACTTCAGGGATTCAGTGTATAATATTTATCATTGGAAGTTATAATGTTAGGTGCGATTTTGCAAATAATCACAGAAAACTCTGCAATTCATGTTTGTTTTTAAATCGATTTCACAAAAAAAAAAACTTTCCTTTGCTCTTGCAGATGGATTGTTCCCTTTTGTGTCCAGGACTGGGAAAACAACAGATTATACAAAGATCAAAGGTTGGAGGGACAAGTTTAGCATCACCCCCGAAGTGTCGTCTTCCAAGCCTGAAGGTGGCATTATGCTGTCCTGCAGTTTTATTACCAGGGATGCATGATATTAGATTTTTGCCAATATTTTCAATCTCATTTTAGCCAATACCAATATGCACATTTTTTTATTTAATTGAAGAGAAGGACACCATGCCTGTCTTGCACTAGAAATAACCCATTACCCTTATTGTGATGGCCTGCTTGTAAATAGACGTAAAACAAGACCAATATTATTTGATTCTAAGTTAATATATCATTTTACAAATGCTGATATTAAAGTAAGGAAATTTTAACTTGGACTAGATGTAAATTACATGCCAGTGCTGTATTTTATTTTTGGGAAACACTGAACTAATCCTTGCATGACATTACAGGGAATCGAATGGCATTTCATAGTTTTTTTTTTTTTTTTTTTCCCCTCCCCCCCCCCTCTATCATGCAGGTGTCGTGGGGTCAGACTCAGCCCTAAAGAATCGTTCGGCCTTCTGCAGCGACATGCTGGATGAGTACCTGGCGAATGAGGGCAAGCTGATAGACGAGCGGGCTGCCAACTTTTCTCAGAGTGCAGAATCTCCTGTAGTCTACCAGTTGCCTACCAAGAGCACCAGCTATGTTCGCACCCTGGACAGTGTGCTAAAGAAGCAGATCCCCAGGCCGGTGGCTTCTAGGTTCCCATTCAAGTCCGTTACCGCACCCAAGAATCCCAGGATGTCTCAGAGAGCCAGAACACCAGCAAGGCACAAATATTCCTCTAGTGAGAGCAAATCAAAGGCCACGGCTGTGTCTGGTTCACAGACCAGTACAATGACCTCTCCCAGTAATGTGAATCAGGCCATCTCCACTTCGAGTCGCACAAAATCCATGAAGGCCAAAGTGGGAAAGAGTGCACGGTCTTCTGCGGGAAAGCCAGCACCCGAAGCAGCCCATCTCGCGGCCCCCCCCATGGCCCAGTCCAAGGCCAGCCCTGGCGCCCTCCCTGACAAAGTGAACGTATTGCAGGACTCCAACCTTGTCAACCAGGGCTCCCCTGGCCTGACTGGGCGCAGCCCTGGCCTCTCCAAGATGCTGCTCAAATTGATGGACTTGGAGGACGGGGCCGTGTGGGAGGGAAAGGAACGCACCTGCGTTACGGAAGACAGGGCGGCCATCGCTCTGGCTGCACTTCTCACGGCTCAGGTACACGATCGCCCAGCTCCTGTACTTCACACAAGCTTTATTGGTATTTCTGTGTGGAATATCCGTCTTCTGTTCAGTGCATGCTGGGTGCAGTAGTTGCAGAACGTTTAATATTAGGTGTTGTCTAGTCAGTATCAACTCCCAGCAAATATGTAGGTTGCATTTCTCCAGAAAGCTGTCCTCAGTCTGGGTCTTCAGCATTTCAAAAAGCTTGTTTGTTGTTGACTCCATCCATCTCATTCCTGGTCAACCCCCTTCCTCTTTTCTAAGCATTGTGGACTTTTCCACAGACTTGGATCAGCTCACAATATGCCCAATATAAGAACAGTTTATGGTCATTTGTGCTTCATGTGAAAGTTTCGGGCTTGTGGGTTCTTCATCAAGTAAGACATTTGTAAGTCTGTGTTTTCACCAAAGTTCCTCCTGCCCCCCAATCCTGATCCATAGTGAATATCATTCCCAAAGTCTGGTCCACCTTCTCTCACTTGTTTTGCATGCAATAAGGGTGTAAAGATGCATCCACGCATTGTGATGAATCGATTATGAAGGCAGTGATTAGAATACGTCAGTCGGTAACGTCAGAATCGGTTATAATCCATTCTCCTAATTCCAGGCTGCACACTCATGTTCTACAGGAAGTAGCAGCGCTAGTGTGTGATTTTCCGAAATGTAGGATGCCGGGGGGGGGGGTCATTAATAGTCATAAATGGCTAGCTAGTTAATTACCTCAGTGTCTTGACCATTGCTACAGTAACTAGAAAAACAAAAAAACACTACTTTGCATTACAAAAGAGGGGCATTTCCCAAAAATGTTATAGATCATCACCAGGTAATTGGGTAGCCCATAAAATGTGGGTGATTAATTTACAATGTGTAACTTTTTCTTATCAGGGCTAGAAGTCTAAGGTAATACTGTCAGCTATCTGTTCTATTTAAAATTTAGTAGCTATTTTCACATAAATATAAATACTCTATATTGTATCCTTAAAGTACTGTAATCACGGGCCAGTGCTGCTCAAGCAGTCCGGTCACCATTATTGTACACTGTTCAAGCGAGAACTTGCACAGTCACTCTTAAAGTGCTCAACAATGCTTCAAGCAACTCCCAAACACTTTGCTGCGATAATGTAACGGACAATACCTTTAATGTTCCGAGGAGATATGTGAAACCTATTTGACACACCACTCTGGAGTGTTTGCTGCTGGGTGTCTCTCTTCGAGAGGTATTATAATTATGTTGTAGGATTTAATTTCCCAGTCATCTCCCAGAAAATGACAGGTCACTCCTAAATACAGTTCTGTAGCAATGCTGATCCAAACGTGTAGTGAGAGCTCTGGAGTCGGCTTCCCTGAGAGTATTTCTTGTTCTGACCCCCTTTTGATGTCCTAATTCATAGCTATAAAAACATTAGTGGGACCTGTTCCCAGCAGGGTTAGTCATACCTGAAAACCACACTTTTAAGAGAAAATGGTAGTTAAACTCATCAGCACACAGAACACAGAAGCTGCTTCAAGGGTTTCAACCTTTTGTTCGTTCAAATGTACTACTACGCATTCCAGAAGACTATCTTTAAATTCCTGCATCATGATCAATGATTTTAATCCTTCAAAGTCATTTACTTTGCAGACAGACAACTACTTACGATCTTTTTTTTTTCACATAGCAAACTCCATGAATGTGCATGCTGAAGTCTTCCTGTAGTCTCTGAACTTCTGTTTATATGCTTCTGGCACCAGTTCATAAGTTTGCAAAACAGCTGCTTTTAATTTGTCATAGTCAGAGCTGTCTGATAGGGACAGAGCAGCACACACTTCCTGAGCTTTTCCCATCAGCATTTTACCAACAAAACCCAGATCTCTCTCAGCCACCAAAGTGATGTTGCCAGGTGTTCAAATGCAGAGAAATACAAATCTACTTTAGTTTCTGTAAACGTGGGTACAAGAGCGACATTCTTGGTGACATCCATCACAGGCACTGGCACGGCAGCAGGATCAGAGCCAGGTGGTACTACGGGGATAGATATAGGAAGGTTTTGGGTCATAGATGCATTCAAAACGGCTTTTGGCCTTTCAGTCTCCAACTGCTTCAGCCGCAAATCTCACTCTACTTCAAGCTCTAAGCGTTTAATGGAGAGTTTGTCTAACTCCATTTGCTGAGCCTATAACAGGGTCTTGGCCAGTGTCCGGGCCGCACACACACAGTGAGAACATTTTAAATGTAGAGTATGGAATAGTCTTCCTGTTAGTGTAGTGCAAGTTAAAACCCTCAGTTCCTTTAAATCAGAGCTAGGTAAGATTTTAACAACTATGAACTATTAGTTGAGTTCTCCCCAAACGAGCTTGATGGGGCGAATAGCCTCCTCTCGTTTGTAAAGACAGAGGTTATTGACAGCTTTAGCCTCCTTGGAGCAATCAGCAGTGCAGTCAAGAAATATCCCAGATTGGGGATCCCAGAGCTGCAATGAATTACCTAGAAATACAATAACATGCACTGTATACAATAATAAGAGCAGGTATCAAAATGATTGGAAATGTGATCTTTTTAGTGAGTTGACTATGGATCTTGTTTTTAATGACTTCATGCTTTTGCTCAGTCTGTTTCATTGCAAATGCTATCTATGGTAGCACTTAGCCAACATTGAAGGTAGCAATAATCTTCTGGAATCCTTCATCCTCCCCCCATAGAAAGTGGCCACATGTCTATGTTGATTTTCGCAGTGCTGTCAGTAGGCATCTTGAACTACTGAGGTGCACATGGAAAAGTTTTCTTGGTGTACATGTTGATCAGACTTTGCACTGTAGGAAAAATCAGTAGGGGAAATGAAATATGCATTCCCGCAATCTAATGTAATAAATAACTTGTGATAATTATTTCAAATAATAAAATTAGATGTTTGTCAGTTTTTTTAACCCCAAGATTTCAAAGTGTTGGAATAGCATTGGTTTTGTTAAAATGCCATTTACCTAAGTGTATTGGCTGGACAGTATGAATATTTAAGTACAGTCCAAGGGAATTTGGATTTTAGTGGCAGGGGGAAAAAAATAGAAGTTTAAAATTTTTGAATTTAGGTTATCAAAATTAATAGAATAATCGATTCAGTGAAACCATGATAGAAAATCAAGATTGCTGATGCATTGAATCATTCCCTAAATATGTCATCTAATCGAAACACTGGGGCCGAGGATTTACGCCCCTAGCATGGAAGTTAAATTGGTATGGTAATATGCAAGCCTTGTCTGACTCCAATTAGGGATGGGGCCGATCCGATCCAGTATCGGTATCGGGTTCCGATACCAGCTTAATTAACGGATCGGAAATTTCCGATCCAACCTGGAGAAATTTCCGATCCAGAGTTATGTCTACAATGCTGTCTACTGAAATGACTTCACAAGTGATCCCGGGCTAGGTGACGTGTCTGTGCTGCAATGAGACACTGAGAGAGATGACACGCCTCCTTTCAGGAAATCCTCTGCAGTTTGCAGGTAGCAGTTTAGCATTGAGCGCCATACAACATGTCCGCTGTGTGGAAACATTTTACGGTCGAAACGCCGCAAAGTAAGACGGCAACGTGCAATGTTTGCAAAGCCGTTGTTCCGAGAGGTGGAACCTCCGTCGCGACGTTCAACACTACAGATATAATTAATAATTGCACTAGTATCTAGTAATCCTGTCTTGAAATTTAAATAAATATCCATTTAAACCCTTAAAGTTGCATATTTGTTTTCAGGATGGGATTTCTGCTGTTTTCTGACCTCATACTTACCTCAAGTTGCTTTCTGGGACACACATAGACTTGCTTGTAGAGAAGTTTATTACAGCCTCATAAAATCAACAATAATGATGATAATCATAGTGATATTAAAGCAAATAGAGCTCTGGTATCGGAATAGTATCGGTATCGGCAGATATCCAAATTCAGGTATCGGAATCGGATCGGAAGTGAAAAAATGTGGATCGGTGCATCCCTAACTCCAATCCAGAACCAGTAAATTTCACCATATTCACAACTGAGTCTGACTTTGTGTCCAGTTATTCTTCATATGGACAATGAAATGTTCTGTTATACCTCTGTGTATAACTTAATCTATTTTATATTATAGTGTAATAATGTCTTCTAGGTCATTGTGTTCCAGGATTGGAAACAATTTTGGTCAATGCTTTGATTCTCCCGTTGCTTCTAATTTCTCTAACCATGTCATAGATTCTCATTAGCTTCCTTTTGACTGATCGCAGGGCTCATCTGACCTCTTCCATTACTGAAGGTTATTTCATTTACCTGAAACTACCAAGATATTTATTTGATTTGATTTTAGTCTGTCAGTTTTTTTTGTACTATTTTGCTACATAATCACTCAAAGTTGGAACTTTTTGATCTCTCATCATACTGTGTGTGTATCACCGCATACATGGTCTCGAGTTTCTCTTATAAATACCGTAGCTGGTATCTGAACTCACCAGATGCTCAGCTGTGCCTACACATCGGCAATGAAATGGTGCTTCAAGAGTTGCTGTATTTTACAATATGGCACTTAGTAGTGTAACATCCGTCAGGTTCACTGTGTTGGCTTGGATCACATCCCAGGAAGCTTTGGGCATCACAGGCACACGCTCATAAACAGTGAAAAATGTAGAGCCAGTTGAGGAGGTGTATTCTGGGAGATTTTAACAGTTTGATCTACGCTCATGAAGCACCTGGTGTTGACTAACCCTCATCTGACCTGTTGTCTCAGGGCACTTTGAAGGGAAGTAAAGCAGCCAACAGGGTGATCAAGCGGCGAGCTCCGCCCTGCCTCATTGACTTTTGCCGCCTGGGCTGCGTGTGTAGCAGTCTGGCACAAGAGCACCGGCGCTTCACCCACTGCGGCAAGCCTGAATGCATGTTTGGCTGTACCTGCCTAAAGCGCCGCGTCGTATTGGTCAAGGCACCACCGTCGCCAACCAAGAACACACAGGATCAAAGTGACCTCATCTTCTACGATGCACTTGAGGAGGACGTACACTCCAAGCCCAAGAAGAAGAAGAAAAAGAGGATGGCATACAGTGAGTGTCCTGAACAACACCAAGTAGAGGTTATACTTCCTAAAGTACTTTAGAACACTCTGACCTCCTTTAGAGAATACTTTGGGAAGACTGACCTCTATCTCAATATGCATGTTTTCTGGCATTGAAATTATAAAAAAAAAAATCATTTAAAAAATTTTGTTTATAAGGCATATAAACCTGGGAAAACCATAGGCTTTGGAACATCATCAAACCCATTTCAATAAAACATTTGTCATGCTGTGTCACCCACAATAGCTATATCCGAGCCTGAGCAGGAGTCGGAGCCGGCGGCTCGCGTGCAGACCCTGTGGAACCCGAAGGTGGTGGAGATTGATCCAGAGCCCCTGTATGCACCAACGCCAGTCTCCTTCCCTTGGTCCCAGGTAGTGATTCGCCAAGAGTCACCTAGCAACCTTGTATCCAAAGAGGTAAGAAGGTGAAGCCGTTCAGTCCCTTCCCCCGCCCTTCTTTGCTTTCATTGGGCTACCCTATCAAACCACTATTGTATTATCGTTCAAATTAATTTCCACGCCACTCAAAGTATTGGTGGGAATCCGGGTCAGTCTTGAACACATGATCTCTTCCGATGGCGCAGGTGCCGGAAGAGGAGAAAGATCCGGTGTACCGCTACTTTGAGAGCATGATGACATGTGCTCGTGTTCGCCCATTCAGTAAAACCGAAGCCCAGGCAGCTGCTGTGCTATGGAAGTTCAAGGTAACACCCACAGCAGGACTCTTAATTTTGTTTCTGCTGTAAAACTTATGCTTCCCTTAAAAAAAAAATGTGCCTTTTAGTTATGAGCGCTATTGAACAACAGTATTTTCTCTTCTTGTCTGAACAGGAAGATGATTCCAAAAACACTATCTCGATCCGCAAACCTGGTAAGTTCTTTTAAGCATCTACTCACGAAGGCTGAATTAATTCTTTAAATTACTGCAAGAATCTTTGTGACAAGCGCTCTTTTATGGTGCATAAGATAGGAATGGAATGGATTGAACATCACACAAACATGAAGTCAAACTTGGCAAATGACAAAACCAAATGAATAGCCCAAACTCCATCTGGGTTCTTGGGTTCCAGCTGTAGATATGGTTAATTGCACATATGAAACATAATAAATGAAAGCAAATGAGGTACAGATGGAATTAATCAACATGAAAGACCCATAAAGTGTTACCTGATGTCTCGCTTTGCAGGTAAGAACCAGAAGCCAGGTGAGACCCAGCAGGCTACACTCCAGTCAGAACCTGTGAAACGCTTGGAGATTGTGTCCGAATGCCCCTGGGAGAAAAAGACAGACAGGAATCATGTCCTTCGGGTCATTTGCGAGTGCATGGCCCAGAACCGGCTGTCCCACGCCTTCCACGTTGGTCCCTACCTCGTTAAGCCAGTCTCCCAGAGCTCCCTGGGCCAGGACAGCACAGTCACCTACAAGGTGTCCATATCCCTGCTCAAAGATGGTGGAGGGGGGGTTCAAGATGAGGACTGTTACACCGAACTGAGCAGCAGGACCAAAAGTAAAGAGAGGTGCAGAGGGGAGGGTGAGGAGCGGACCAGTGCATCCAGAAACAAAGTTCTGCCTTTCCTTACACGTGTCTCTCCTGCTGGTCTCCTCATTGCCAACAAGAAGCAGCCAGGGGTTTCTACCCAAGGGCATATCAAGGTAACATGACCTGCTAATAGATGTTAGATTGGATACTGTTATTCTGTTACTTGCACTTAAGCTGTTTCCTATAAGGCAAGACGACGACTCCTGACCACCTGCTGTTCCGAATCACTTCTGTTTATACAGGTCAACGGTAAATCATACCCACAGGCCAAGCTACAGCTTGGTCAGATGGGAGCACTACATCCAGCAAACAGGCTGGCTGCTTACATCACCGGCAGGCTGCGGCCTATAGACCACCAGCCGTCCGGCACGGCCTTAGGCACCGCTAAGTCTCCTAACCACCTGCCTCTGGGTGGCTCCATGGACGCCGGTTATACACTACAACTGCCACGCTTGCCAGTAAACAGCCTGTGCACCACCACCAGCACCACTACGACGACCACCACCACAGTCACCGGCATCGGCTCTAGTCCCACTGTCGCTGCAGTCCTCAAGAACCTGGGTAAGTGCTGACCAGAGTCTGCATTGGCAGATCACTGAATACCTCTCAGACTGTATCTGTTCAATTAAAATGCACTTTTATTAATAAAAATCTGTCTGTGGTGAAACGGGAATGCTTTTATGAATCTCCGGTTCCGCTACCATACATATTTCTATTTTTATATACAGTACCAACATAAGTTTGAGTACATCTGCTTGAAACCACAATTATTTATATCATAAACCTGTATGTACTTGTTTAATAACCAAAGTAAAAGTCTTTTATGAACTAATGAGGCAGTATTTCAAGTATTTGGATGGGTGGGTGGATGGATGGATGGGTGGAGACACCATATATTTGTAAGATACGGAAAGGATAAGTGTTACAGGTGTGGCAAAAATGGCATATATGGTATTTCATGATCCACGTTATAGAGCAGTTTTTTTTTTTTTAAACAAACCAACCGAATTAGAATCTTTCCTGATGTTAATTAACCATTAACACTTAACCAGCAATTCTGTCCCTAAGGAAACACTGCTTGTATCATGTAACAAGGTAAAAAGTGAGTAACGAGAAACAAGGTAACAAGGACCAAAATGTAACATTTTCACTTCATTATGTAATGGCACCTATATTTTGAAATATCCTGCTGCATTTTGCAATTGACAGCTTGAACGCAATAATATAATTTCCCCACGTTTCGTAAAAAGTGATTACATATTGCGATAGTTATTCCAAAATGCAGGAGTTGTACTTTCGAAAATGTAATAAGTCGTGTATCATGTAATAAGCAACATGGATGCCTTCACACTTCAGCGAGTTATTATATAGTGCAGTGTTATTACATAAGGGGTAGCCATTACCGCATGACACTGGTACAATATTTTTAGCAGTCTACTGGTATTTATTATTATGTCTTTTATTTTTATGTTAACAATATTATTGTTATAAATAAATATACATATGTTATGCAGCCTGAAATAGCTTTGTTTCACATCAGTCTGTTTTTTGTTGTACCATCTAAACATGCAGGCATTGTGTGGAAGGCGTTGTCATAACAACAGAAAAAGAAAGCGTAGTGTACTTGAAACTAGGCATTCATTGGAAGCTCAGCTACCTCCACAATCCTCAGCAGCGCATGTTTGTAATGTGCCGTTTGCCTCAATTGTGGGTCGCTTTGGATGAAAGCTTCTGCTAAATAAATGTAAATGTAGTTTGGTATTGCGATTCTTGCGATAACCCTGAAAAACTTATAATGGATATAATTGCAGGTGGTCACGATAAATTATTGTATCGTCCACCACTATTTCGAATAAACAAGACATCTGGGGTTGCTTTGTTAGTGATCTTTACCAAATCCATGGCAGTATCAATCAACTTGGCTGTCTTAAGTGTGAAAGACGTGCCCTTCCACCCTGACTGCTGATTGGGTGGTCCTTCGTTCCTCATCAAGATACAACCACCAAAAACTCACTTTAAATTGTACAAGGAGTATCTGGGGCAGAAGGAAAATGAAGGTCAGCTCAAACTAATACTGTGGCTGGCATGACCTCCAGGACATAATCCTATAAAACTGGCCTGAAGAATTAATGCAAAGCAAACCATAGGGAGCCTGGCTCTCGGGGACCGGCTCAAGCTGCGCTGGGAAAACGTGTCGGGAGATTCCACAGTGAATTTTTTTTAACTGAATGTCTCTTGTCTCTGAAGTAGTTTTTCAAGATATTTGGTGGCTTTATTGAGGAATCCAGAACTCAGTGTTTAATTTCCTTCTGCCAGGCTGTAGTATTCCTTTTGAGTGGTGTGATTGTTTTTCCACATTGAAGTATTTGTAGAAGACTGATGTAGAGACTTTTCCAGCAAGTGTACTCGAACTTTTGTCCAATATTGTATATAAAGCTGTATTTCAAGGCAAAAAATCTTTAGGAAGAATTAAGGTTGATACATTAAGTGATCATACATTTGTCATTATGTAGTTTATCAGCAACGTGCAAATTGGTAAATGTTTGATGAATTCAATCCTAAAATGCAGCAGCATGTCTTGTTCACAAAGAAGTAAAAAGCATGTGATGGTTTGCTCTAATAGTATACTTTGTCAGGGAAACCCTTAAGTCCTGTGGTCTTGCAGATACTGCGCACCTTTGAGCTCACCTGCTTATTTAAAGGAATGCATTTGTCTCTGTCCTCTCCCTGCCTCAAGTAGTATGCTACTTACATTTTCTAATTTGATTTCATTGCAAGAAATGGGCTCGCATTGTGGAATCACACAATGAGCACAGAATGCGAAGAAGCTCTGTCCTGGACAGATACCACGATGCCTTTGGTTTTTCAGTAATGGTTTTCCATCTGTCCTAACCTGTTAAGATGTTTAGGAAAAGTGTTTTTTCCTGTTCAGAATAGGGCTGGGTCATATGACGATGGTATTGACTTTTTTTTTTTTTTTTTTTTTTT